AAATAAAAGAAAACACAGAAAAAGAAAAAAGGCTGTGAGGAGAGCTGAGTGCCAGGCAAATGAAGGACAGTAATGCCAGACGGGACACACCCTGTGTGCACACCACCTGCCTTTGTCCCCTGGTTTCCTTCCTGATCTCCCCCAGATGTAGCCCCCAGGATGAAGAGGAAAGAAGCACTGAAGACTGGTGGGCATGTCCCATGTGAAAGGGACCCAAGGCCCCTGTCTGAGCTTCTTTCAGAGCCCCAGGGCCTCTATGGGCCAGAGGAGGAAGGTGGCCAAGATCCTTATGGTATAGATTTCACCTGGTCTAGAGGCCACACCCAGACTTGCTTCTAGACCTGATGTGCCTTGTCCTGGGTGTGGTTTTCACATAGGTCCTGCCAACACTTACCCCACTTCTTACAAGTTGGACTGTGTGTATATGGGACAGGTAGGTGGGCCTGGAAGGAGCCACCCCATTGTCACTGAGGAGCAGGGAGCCACCTTCCTAGGCAAACCTGAAGTCTTGCTTGCCATGGCTGCAGTTACCTGTGGTTCACCTCTGTTCCAAAATACTGGGTGGAGAATGCCATAATCAATTTCTGAGCTGAAGTTGCATGTTTTTGTATCGTGGGATCTCAGGCTGCCCCACACATTCTGCCTAAATGGGATTCATCCCTTGTCTAGTCCCCAGATGGCATAGGCCACCACCAAGAGTTCACTCAGCAGTCAGCTTGGTTATCAGAGAGGCTGTTGCTCCACAGAACTCACTACTTTCCTTAGTACTAATGGCCCTAAAGTGCAAACTTAGTGTCTTAGTTACTTTCTTGTTGTTGGGACAAAATACCTGACTTCCACAGATTAAAGGAAGGCAGGTTTATTTTAGCTTACAGTTCATAGAGATTTCAGTCCGTAGACAGCTGGTTCTGAGGCAAGGCAGCATGGCAGAGGAGGAACAGTCCATGGCAGGGTAGGCAGGAGGCAGTATGCAGCGTGTCTTCCTTTACTTTTTTATTCCATTCGGGCTACAAGCCTATTGGTTGGTGCCACTCACACCCAAGGTGGGCATTCCTCATTATCAGTTTATCCACACCCAGAATGACACTAAACCAATCAGTGGACTTACCACACTTCCATGATCCAATGATCCTATGATCTAGTGGCCTCCCAAAAGCCCCACCTATGAGTGGACATGTTGATATCAGCTATAACATACAGTACATTGGCATAATTATGTTATTATTATTTTTGTTGTTGTTAATCTCTACATTGTGTAATTTGTAAATTAAACTTTATCACGGGCTAGGAGTGGTGGCCTATACCTGTAATCCCTGTGGTGGAGACAGGAGGCAGGAGGATCTCAAGTTTGAGACCAGCCTGGGCTAAGTATGTAGTGGCACCTTGTCTCTACAACACCAAAACACAAAAATAAAAGAGCCTGATAGGGCCGGGAGTTTAGCTTAGTGGCACCATGCCTGCCTTGCAAGTGCAAGGTCGTGAGTTCGATCCCTGGTACCCCCCCCACCGCCAAAAAAAACGTTATAGGTATCTATCCCTAGGAAAAACAGTCTACATAGAGCGTTAATGTGATTCCAGGCATCTACTGGGGGTCTTAAGATATATTCCTTGTAGATACGACCATGTACGGTGTAAGGCAGGAGGCTGTGTGTACTAAGGAAGGTCTTACTCAGCCCCAGAATGGAGGAACTGCCCAGCATCTTGCTGAGGCAGCTTTGTACTAGAAAAAAACCTCTTCTCAGCTACTTTGTCTTAACCCCTGAGCAGATAACAGGAAACAATTCTCTTTTCCAGCAGTGGGGTTTCTGAAAAGGCCGGAGTCCTTTGCCTGTGGTGGAGGAGTACAGATGCAGGTGTCCCTGTGTCTTGGTTACTTTTGTCATTGCTGAAACAAAGTACTTTACACTCAAAGTTAAAGGAGGAAAGGTTTATTTTGGCTCACAGTTTGGAGAGGTTTAAGTCCATAACCAGGTGACTTCAAGGCAAAGTGGCATGGCAGAGGGTCATCACAGAGGAGAAACAACAGTTCATGGCATGGCAGGCAGGAGGCAGCAAAAGCAGCAAGCAACAGCAGCAAGCCTGCTTTCTTTCTGTCTCTTCCATATTCCATCCAGTCTACAAACCTATCAGTTAGTTCCACCCATACCCATGGAAGGGCACCCTTAATCCATATTCACATATCCTAATCCAGCCACCTTTGAAACTCTCCACCTCTGACTGCATGAGGCTTTGGGGGAACATCTAGATACTACCCATTATGCCCTACATGAGGCGACTGAGGGCTGCTTATAAACCCAGGGATCCTGGCTGCTCTCATGTCCCTTTCCTGGAGTCCTGTGAATCAGTGAAGAGAGGCTACGGGCAAGCAGAGGTCAGGGGCACACCAAGGATCCACAAATATCGGCAGGTTGGTCTTCAGTACGTTAGAGGATTTTATTCTTTTTCTTACGGTGCTGGAGATGGTCCCTAGAGGCTCATTTGTGCCAGCCAAGCACTCTACCACTGAGCTGCACCTCTAGCTCTGGAAGGTTTTGTTAAGAGCTAGAAGGTTGGGTTATTTTTATTTATTTACCCTTGAAAGATAAGGTTTAGTGTCAGGCATTGTGGCACACACCTGTAATCCCAGCACTCTGGGAGGCTGAGGCAAGAAGATCAAAAGTTTGAACCCAGCCCGGGCAACTTGGTGGCTTAGTGAGACCTTGCCTCAAAATAAGAAGGGGGCGGGGCGGGGATTTAGCTCAATGGCACCGCGCCTGCCTTGCAAGCACAAGGTCCTAAGTTTGATCCCTGGTACTAAAAATATAATAAATAAATAAAATAAAAATAAAAGCAGCTGAGAATATAGCTCATCGTGAAGGCTTTAAAGTCAGCTCCCAGTACTGGGGGTGGGTGGGAAGAATAGTGGTGATGGTTGTGGATGTGCTAAGTCACTGTATTGTATACTTTATCTCTTATTTTTAAATTTTTGAATTTGTTTTTGCAGTACTAAGGATGGATCCCAGGGCCTCATGAGTGCTAGGCAAGTGCTAACCACTGAGCTGCACCCCAGCCTAGATTATGCACTGTGCCTGGGTAAATTATAGGTGTGTGAATTATACCTCAGTAGAGCTGTTAGGAAAAGTAATACCTTGGGTCTTTTAGTGATACTGGCGATTGAACCCAGGGCTGAACCCAGGGCGTTTGCACTGAGCTACATCCCAGCCTTTGTGTTTTTTGAGAAAGGGTCTCTTTAGGTTGCTAAATTGCCCAGGCTGGGCTCAAATTTGTGATCCTCCTGCCTCAGCCTCCCAAAGTGCTGAATTACAGTCATGCTCACCCTCAGGTTTTTTAGTTATTTTGATCCTCTTGAATGGTGGGAGACCCTTTCAGATACACTCTCCTTGTATCTCTGCCTGGCAGTGCCTTTCTCCTTGCAATGGAGGTGTGAACACTGTGGCCTGGGCTAAGAGCGGTTGCTGTCACAGAGTAGTTTTGAACTTCTTGGTGTAAGCCCGCTGGTAGCACCTCCAGTGGCCTGGGCAGCTTTGGATGATGTGGGCACTAGGCCCTCCTGTGAGGCTTACCCAGGCCTGTCTGTGCTCCAGGCCATGTGTGGCCCTGTGCTGGCTGTCCTCAGGATGCTTGTGCACCCCAGGTACCTAGGAGTGGCTTGTGCAGTAAGGCCTAGGCTCCTGAGGGGAGTGTGGGGCAGGGAGATTCAGTGGACAGCAGAGGAAGGATCCCTGCCAAACTAGAGCCCAGCTCATGGATGAGCAAGCATCCCTGGTGGCCGTGCTAAGCAGTGAGGGGAGGGAAGTTAGTCTTAGTGAGCAGTGTGTCCCTTGCACAGCATGGCTGCAGTGTGAACACATTGAGGTTTGAGCCTGACGGTGGTGGCAATCACTCAGTATCTTTTGAGAGTCCCATGTCACATGGGGCTGTGCACTGGATGGCCTGGGTCTGCACCAGGGAAAGTGCACAGCTGCTTGGTTGGAGAAGGAGATGGCCAGGGCAACCCAAGGCCTGGAGTGCCCTCAGAGCTATGGGGAGATGGGTGGGAATGTCGAGCCTCTGTGCACATGGGTGAGAGCCCCACAAGCCTGGGACATCCGTCAGCTGGAGAGGTGGACTTGTGGCTTCATCCTGCTGTTCCTGTCTGGGGGCAGGGCTGGGAAAAGTGCTTGTGCGTGTACTGAGAGGGGTGTTGCGCTCATCACTGGCTATGTCCGCTGCCAGCTGGGGAGCTGTGGTTGTGGGTGCTATTCGAGGGCCGTGATGAGGGTGAAGGGGTCACCACACCAGGCTGGTACCCTCTGGACCCACAGGGTTGCCTAGGAGGCAGGGAGCACAACGCTGCGCCTCCTTTCTTTTATCCTTTTCTGTCCTTATGCTTTCTTTTGTTTTTTGTTTGTTTGTTTTATTGAGACACGATCACCATAGGTAGTCCAGGGTGGCTTTGAACTCACTATGTAGCCCAGGCTGGCCTGGAACTCACGGTGATGTTCTTGTTTCAGCCTCCTGAGTACTAGGATTACAGGCTTGTGCCACAATGGCAGGCTTGTCCTGCTTTTTTTTGTTAATCTGTCACACATATGTATGATGTGTGAATGGCAGCTGTGTGCCTGGTTCTTCAGATGACACCATCCTTGGGTGGAGGATGGTTGGGGGTTGAAGATGACTTGGACGCGTGGAGTGTTCTGGCATTGGGGTGGCCAGTGGTTGTGATTGGTGTTTGCCACTTTACATAGGGGAACTGTGTCCTATAGGGGCTCAGTGACCTGCCAGCCATGTGTTAGGCCCATGCAGAAGCAGAAAGCACAGCCAGGCCTCAGCTCAAGGAGCCACCAGGGCTGGGGTGGGCACCTGGGCTCCTGTGGGGATGGCTTGGGAGCCACGTCAGTAGGTAATGAAAGTCTGGAGTGATGGTCGCACAGGAGGAAAGAGCCACCCCTCCAATTCCTGCTGTCACTGGGTGGGCAAAAAGCAGTCTAATGTCTGAGACACTGCTCCTTGCTTTTCAGGACAAACACCACGATGCTGCTCATGAAATCATCGAGACTATTCGGTGAGTGCTGGGTGGTATGGGCACCTGTGGGGTGAGATGGCATAGAACTGGGCCCTGGGCTCTGCTGCTGTCATGTGGGTGCACATGGCACAGGGAACAGCCCTCACAGTGGGAAGCAGACTTGTTGCACATGTGCCTTTGCTCTTGTCATAATCCCCTCAGTCTATTCTCACCATTCCCAATGTTGTTGGATAAAAGCCCTGGAGACAGAAGTGGACTTAAGAGTGGCTGTCTGCAGATGTCATTCACCTGGCTTCTCCTCCACCATAGACAGGAGATCTCAGGGAAGACCAAGATCCTGAGTGTTCATCTTCAGGCAAATGTGGAGCTCCAGAGAGCGTACCCTCCTGTGCTGGGAGGAGGCAGAGCCAGCGGGACCTGCATGCCGGGCCCATGGCTAAGGCCTCTTAGCCGGTCAGAGCATGCCTTTGGGGTGCTGTTTTCTGAGCCTTGCCCTTCTTGAACTTCTGTCACTGTGCCATCCATGAGCCACATGACCACGATGTCTAGTAAACCAACTGCACTTGGTGGATCCTTATGTACGGGATTGGTTTTTTGGGTCTATTGTTTTCCTGGTGTTCTCAGAGTGTTGTCAGGTAGCAGGAGCCCAGAACAATAGCATCTGGGCTCTGAGCTTGTGAGCAGGGGGCCCCAGAACCTGCTCCCCATCTGGGGATGCTCTGGATTCTCCTTGGCCTCACCAGCCTCAAAACAAGGTTCTCCCAGCTTGGTTTCTCACTGCCTTTCTATTTCTTTAGGAAGATTTGTCATGCTGTGATTTTACAGCAGATTGTATCCTCATTGCATGGCCCATGTCTCAGGGTTTCAGCAGTGTCCTCCTCTTCCTATTTATTTAATGGTGCTAGGGATAGAACCCAAAGCCTTGTGCATGCTAGGAAAGTACTCTACCACTGAGCTGCAGCCTGTCTCCCCTCTTATTTTTTAAAATTTTGAGACAGGGTCTCAGTAAGTCACTAAGTTGCTTAAGCTGGGCTGGAACTTGTGATCTTCCTGCCTCAACCTCCTGAGTGTAAGATTACTGGCATGTGCCACCTGGCATAACATTTTTTTACTTTTTATTGTTGTGTTTGCTTTTGCAATGCTGGGGATCAAACACAGGTCCTTATACATGCTAGACAGTGCTCTACCACTGAGCCACATCCCCAGCCTTATATGCTTTACTTTTTTTTTTTTTGGTACCGGGGATCGAACTCGGGACCTTGTGCTTGCGAGGCAGGCACTGGAACCACTGAGCTAAATCCCCGGCATATGCTTTACTTTTTATAGTGACATGTGAGTTTATTTTGCTCCCAAGGGCCAACACTGTTAGATCTTGAAGTCGAATAAAATCTGTGTGATTCACAACAACCTCAGCATTTGTTACAAGATAATGGATCATTCTCTCTTTTACATTTTGAATCATGGGATTTTTTTTTTTTCTTTGTGGTACTGTGAATTGGAACCCAGGTCCCAGAGCTACCTCCCAGCCATTTTATTTTTTGGTTGGTTTTTTTTTTTTTGGTACCGGGGATCGAACTTGGGACCTTGTGCTTGCAAGGCAGGCGCCGGAACCACTGAGCTAAATCCCTGGCCCTCAGCCATTTTATTTTTTATTTTGAGACAGGATCTCTCTAAGTTGCCCAGGCTGGGCTCAAACTCGTGATCCTCCTGCCCTTAGCCTCACACAGTGCTGGGGTGGCAGACGTGTGCCACCACACCCAGTGCAAATTTTGTTTTGCCATTTTAGAGTCAGCACTGTTCAGGCGATTTTAATTTGAGTCCTTTAAAAAAAACCCAAAAAACAAAAAAAGCGATTCCTGTGTAATAGTATTCCTGTGGTTTTTGCTTTTCTGTTTCAGATGGGTCTGTGAGGAAATCCCGGATCTCAAGCTGGCCATGGAGAATTATGTCTTAATTGACTATGATACCAAAAGGTAAGCGGACACTGCCCAACCACCTCCTCTAGGATAAGTGCTTCCTCGAAGGCGCAGCAGCTGCAGTTTCCTTGCAGAGCTGGCTGTGGCTCCATACGGTTACTTTGGCTGGAAATGTTTATTGAGCCTTGGCGAGAGCTGTCCGAGTGAGGACAAAATTGGAAACCCCACAGGCTGAAACTGGATTGGTGTGTGTGGAATTACCCAGCATAAACAGCAGCTCTTTTTATAGCTGGCAGTGGCTGCCAGATGTCATTGTTTCCGCCCAGGCCACCACTGCTTGCCCTCAGCAGCCCCTGGGCCTGCAGCTCAGCTGGCCAGCAGAGGGCTTGGCCAGGGGCTGTGACTCTGGCCCTCAGTGTTTCTAGCTCTTAGCACTTTCCTCCCAGAGAGTGGGTGGAGGGCCTGGCATCTCTGGAATGCCCGCTGGAGAGGTTTGTTTTTCTTTGGAAAGAAGGGGGTGGTCCAGGCTCACAACTGCTCCAGCTCTGGTAACCTGCCTTGTGTCAGGAGCATTTGGGCGGGCAAGAGTGGCCCTGTGGCTTCTGCAGGAGCCTCACCCAGCGTGTGTGGCCCAATCTCTGACTTCACTGTTAGACACAGAAAGAGCTTGCTGTGCTGCAAGCAGTGTAGCCTCCATGACAGCTGGACCTGTCTCCTGGCCCAGCCCTGGCCCTCTGCAGCCAGCACATTGGTGTTCAACAGGGAGGGAAGGGAAGCCTGTCACTCCTATCAGAGCAGAGGCTCTGGGGCAGAGGTGACCTGGTGCTGCTGGAGCTGAGGTAAACCACTTCCTGGGTCCTTGGAGCCTGGCCTCAGGGAAATATCTGTTAGGGGACTGATTTCTTAGGAGGAATGTGATAAGGACCTGGACAAGCAGTCCCCAGATGGTGGGTGTGGTTTGAAGGGTGAGGTCTGCAAGAGCTTAGGCGTAGGAACTTGTGTCCCTATGGAGTAGGGGTGTGCCACCCTCCTGCACCCTGTGGGTGCGCACACACCAAGAAGCGTCCTGACTTTGTTCCTGCGAGATTTTTATGGCGGCTTTGACACAAGGCATACCACTTAGGAAAGGCTGGCCATGGTGGTGCACACCTATGATCCCAGGACTTGGAATGCTCAGGGAGGAAGATTGCTGAGAGTTCAAGGCCAGCCAGAATTACATAGTGAGATCCTGCCTCTAAAAAAAGGGGGGGGGGCCTGGGATTTAGCTCAGTGGTTCTGCCGCCTGCCTTGCAAGTGCAAGGTCCTGAGTTCAATCTCCAGTACCAAAAAAAAAGGGGGGGGGTGAGGAAGCTGGAAGGTTATCAGGTAGGTGGGCCCAGGGTCAAAGCAAATTTAAGACCTCCTGGTTGGACCCACAGTGTTCATGCAAGATGACTGCAAAATGAGCCCAGAGGGCTGAGGCACTGGGCCCACTCTGCCACACTCCCCATCTGACGTCCTTCCCTGGTGGGTCTCCAGAGGTTTGTGGTCTCCAGTTATTCAGGTTGAAGGCAGGATATGAGGGTTGGAATATGAGAAAACAAACCTGTAAAGTGTCCTGAGGGCTTGGTGAGGACAGGGCTCAGGGGGTGGTGCCTCAGGAGGGAGACAGCTCCCAAACGCACATGGGTTCACAGTTCCCATCAGGGGGACTTGTGTGTAGTCCTGGTTGGTTGTGGTGCTGCCAGCCCCTGCCTGACCCAATGCACAGGTGAGGTTGTGGGCAAGGACCCCTGGGCACTGCCCGGTTGCCTCAGGCCTGTGTGTGTCTCTGGTGGCCTCCATCCGCTTGGAAATGCCAGCATTGACACAGCAGTGGTCTTTGACATTGTTGGAATCCCATGTTCTGCTGACACAATGCTTTATAAGGTGCCCTTAGGCTTTGGGGCATCCTGCCTTTGGGATCTTGTGGTCTCTTCCATGTGTTTGGTTTTGAGATGAGGTCTCACTGCACTGCCACCTGCCTCGCAAGCGCAAGGTCCTGAGTTTGATCCTAGTACAAAAAAAAGTTTTCTAGACAGAGGTGATCCCTGTGTGGGAAGGAGGAGCTGCGCTTCCTACAGAGTTAGGCTCTTTAGCACCAGGTACTGCCTCAGCAAGCCAGGTGGCCCCAGTGTTCCTGCATGGAAACCCTTCTGGGGACACTGTGGGTGACCCCGGCCAGGAGAAAGAAGACTCTATGAGGCTGCCAAAAAGGGCCATGGTGGGTTTCTATTTGCTTCCAGCTCAGTACAGTGAGGGCCTCCTGAGTCTCACCCACTGTGCAGAGTCCTTTTCTAATTGTGCCTGCTGGGCGTTCCTTGACCTTAGGTTAAACCCCTGGGCCCAAAGCAGCCCAAGCTGCCCTTGCACAGTCTCCTGGCCAGGACTTCCTGGTCAGGACTGGCTGCCTATGTGCTGGCATTGGCCTGGAGCCCCTCACAGGGGTCAGACCTGGTTCTGCCCTGCCCATGTGCAAGGCCTGGAGTGTGTCCCTGGCCCTAGCTGGGGGCCTTCATGTGGCTCCTGGTGCTGGAGCTGAGCCTTGGCATGGCCCAGTGGCTCCTTCCTGAGGTTCTGGGTCCCGTCCAGTGGCAGTGGCAGTCCTGCTCTGGGACGGTACCTCTCTCTTGCCTGTTCCAGCTTCGAGAGCATGCAGAGGCTGTGTGACAAGTACAACCGGGCCATCGACAGCATCCATCAGCTGGTAGGTGGCCTCACCACCCAGAAGCCTGTCCCATTCCACCTGGTGGGTTTTCGAAGTCAGGCCCCTGGACCCTGCAGACTAGTTGTGTGACAGGGCTCCCATGGAAGACCTGGTGTGGTGACTGGTGTTGAGTGGTGGAGCCAGGTGGCAGCACAATCAGGACCCAGCTGTTTGTTTTCTGAAGTAGGTACTGAGGGTTGTCATCCTTGGGTATGCCCCTGTCCCCAGGGACAAGGCAGAGATGTGAGCACAAGCAGCTTCCCAGGCTGTGAAGACCAGCCCTGCCTTCCAGCTAGCCTGTGACTTGTGTCCTCCATCTTGGTCACAGTGGCACCTTGGGAGGGCTGAGATGCTGCAGAGTGTGCACTCCTTCCTGTTTCCAAGGAAGGTCCTCTTAAGAGAAAGTGCAGGTGCTCGGCCCTGGTGGGGATGTGCAGCCGCCACAGAGTGGGTTCTATTGGGGCAAGTGGAGATGGTGCAGTGTGGCCTTGAGGGTCCCTCCCAAGCTGGCAGTGCTTAGAGTCCCATGTGGCTAGCTGCCCTTGGCTGGCTAATTGTGTGCCATGTGTGGCTCCATGGAGCACTCAGATGGTGGCTGGCCTGTGTGGGTGTTGGCTATGGCCTTTACCACCAGTGCTGACCACAGGAAGGACTATTGAGTCTGCTGAGTATGTTAGGAGCCCCCGCATAGACAACAATAGGCTGGGGGTCTTCATGTGGCTCCTGGTGCTGGAGATGGGCCTTGGCAGGGCCCAGTGGCCTGTTACTGAGGTTCTGGGTCCCATTCAGTGGCAGTGGCCTGGCCCCTTGGCTGTGCAGTCCTGTTCTGGGAGGCTCCCACCGACTGTCCCACACTGTCCTGGTGCTGAATATGGCTGAGGGGATGTGGTGATGTTGGCAGGCACCCTTGCGCCACATAGGGCAGAGCCTCAGACACCCTTGTCATAAGGAATCAGGGCACAGGTCCTCATAGTGATGCCCCAGGGCCAGGACTGACTCCCCTGGGTTATGGACAGCTACACAAGGGTCTGGAGGGGCTCCAGGGTCCCATGCCAAGGCTGAGAAGCGGCCAGCACACCTAGGTTCTCGGCTAGATTATTTTTCTCCCCGGTGGCTTTTTAGTCAAAGATGACCTTTCTGAGGCTGGAGAGCTTGAGTGGAAGAGGCCAGACTGCTGTCTTTCAAAGGATGGGTCCTCAGGGCTGGGGCCCAGGTGCTCCTTATGGGGCAACCAGTGGGCTGGGAGCCTGGAGGCAATGGGCTGGTCCCCCAGTGACCTTCAGGATGAGAAAGTAACTGCGCACTGGGTGCCTAAGATGAGTGTCGAGCAAGGGGAGCCAAGGCCATGCTCCCCATCTCCTGCCGCAGGTCACAGCTGAGAAGAGTTGGGTGTGCACCTCATGAAAGGACCTACACTTGCACGCACACACGTTAACACTTTCTTTGAGTCTGAGGTGTTGGGGACGGGGCCCAGGGCTTCACGAGTGCCAGGCAAACCCTCATTGAGCACTGCCCCAGCCCCCACTGTATCTAACTGGAAAAGTAACAGGGTAGGGTGGGCACAGCAGGGTGTTCGCGTGTGCATGACCTGTCCATCATGTCCATCTGTCCCCAGTGGAAGGGCACCACCCAACCCATGAAGCTGAACACACGGCCGTCCAACGGGCTTCTGCGACACATCCTGCAGCAGGTCTACAACCACTCGGTGACTGACCCAGAGAAGCTTAACAACTATGAGCCCTTCTCCCCCGAGGTGTATGGGGAGACCTCCTTTGACCTGGTGGCCCAGATGATCGATGAGATCAAGATGACTGAGGATGATCTATTCGTGGACCTGGGCAGTGGTGGGTCTCTAGTGAGGAGTCTGACAGCTGTCATTGGTTTCCTGACTGTGCCCTTATCTTCGTGCATGTGTGTGTGCTCAGAGGATGGCACAGCGGGACAGGCCAGCAGCTCAGGGAGGCTCCAGCCACTGCCCCAACTGTTCACTGCCGATGTTCTCTTGTCAAGACCTGGGGCTCTGTGCCCTGTGACCCTTGAGCCCCCTCCAGCTTTGTTCATGCCTTTGCCTGCATGGCCAGCCCCAAAAGGCACTTGGCTTGTGCGGCTCCTTCTCTGCCAAACGGCTCTGTCTTAGCACTGTCAGGACCTCACCTGTGTGCAAGAAAACTTAGGCTGGACCTGGCTGCTTGTGTCCCTGAGAGGCTCAGCCTGTGCCCTGCCCTCCTTGGAGTGTCTTTGTTCCTTTGACTTCACAGGAGAGGGAATGGCAGGGCAGGAAAGGGCCTGGATTACTCCCTCCACATGTTTATAAGGTGCTGCCCCAGTCACCTGTCACAGCACCCCTCAGTACTGGCTCTGGGATCCTGTTTCCACAGAAACACTGAGGGATATGTTTGCTTGAACCCCAGAGTCTCCTGAAGGGTGTGCCCCTCACATGAGTCTGCCCTGTTGCTGGCAGTGCCCACCTCTCCCTCCCCAGTGCTCAGTGTAATTTGCACACACTGCGTTCAGCACAGAGAATCAGGTGGCTGGTACCAGTACTGAGAACAGCTGACTTGCTGTATAGAAGTGGTGCTTGTGGCCCTCAGTCCTTGTGACCCCAGGGTGTTGGCCAACAGGGTGTTCGGTCTCAGGCCACCAGGTGCTCTGACTCTGTGTGTTGGCCATGTGGGGACAGCTGTGTCTCCAGGCCCAGAGCTACCAAAGTTGCCAGTTCCGCTTCCTTGAAGTGTTTTCAGTCTGACCACCACAATTTGTGTGTTTGCACTGCAGCAGTGCTTTGGGGGCCTGGTTGTGGACGCCATTCTGGGCACCACCGAGTCTCAGGTAGCTCAGGTGGGCCTGTGGGAACACTTAAACCCTGCCTGTCTCTCTTGGGGCCACAGATAGCTGGTGTGGTTGAGGGGGTGGGTGGAGGTGTCCATCCCCTGATGGGGACTCTGCAAGGGCCAGGATTTTTGGAGGTATCCTCAGTGACCTCAGAGGACATTGTGGGTCTTTGAGCTGTCTCATGTCCCACACCTGTTGGTGTCATTTGGACATCATCACGTGGCCCATGTCCCATCATCACATGCCCTCCCCTGAGTGCTGGCCACTTGGTGGTATCCGCAGGCACTGAGGCTCTGTCTCAAATGCTCCATGGGGCTCTGACACATCTCTCTGTGATTGAAGGTGTAGGACAGGTGGTCCTCCAGGTTGCTGCAGCCACCAACTGCAAACATCACTATGGAGTCGAGAAAGCAGACATCCCAGCCAAGTACGCGGAGGTACGTGGTCCTGGGGCCTGGGCCGTGTGGGGCAGGTGTCAAAGGCATGGCACCCTCAGCACCCAGCACCTGGACTTCCCTGTCTGGGCAGCATCCTTCCTAGGCTGAGGAGTTTTGTCTGAATCAAGGGTGTGAGTGTGTTTGTGATATCTGGCACCCTCCCAGCAGATGGCCAGCCTTTGCTGCTAGGAGCAGGGAGGCTTGGCGAGGCCTCTGTGCTTGTTTCCCTGCCCTGTGACCTCACCCTCCTGGTGGGGTTGGTGCTGAGCTCCTCCACTGAGCCTGGCACCTAACCTGGTTTGGACACTCCCACCCTCTTCCTTTGGTTGTCCCCTCTCTTCCTGATGGAGGATTGGGCTTTGCTGGGGCCACCCTCTCACAGCCTCTGCCCGGGGTAGGGAGCAGTGGGTTGCAAGGTGTGGGCATGTGAGTGGCGTCTCAGCCCCACAGAAGCATGTTCAGTCTGTGGCCTGGAGGCCTCTGGATGCTGGAGAGTCGGGAGCCCTGGAACACCTCCACTGAGCCTGCCTCCTGCGGGCCCTGCCCCACACCAGGAGTGTCTTCATGGAACTTAGTGTCTTAGTGGGACCGTGCTGTGGGTGAAAACAGATCCTGATCTGTATGATCTTGCCAGGCTGGAGGGACCACTGGGAGCTGCAGATATGTGGACATGTGGGCTGGTTCGGGCCATCCTGGCTGCTCAGAGTTTTGATGGGCTGTGTGACCTCTTTCCCTTCCAGACCATGGACCGAGAGTTCAGGAAGTGGATGAAATGGTATGGAAAAAAGCATGCAGAATACACAGTGAGTGCCATCGCTCCATGCCCCGTGGCTATGACCCCAGCCCAGCCCCCCAGCCCTGGCTCTCTCTTGACCCCCCATTCTTTTTTTCTTTTTTGAGGGGGTTACCAGGGATTGATTATGCTTGCGCAGCAGGCGACAAAAACCACTGAGCTAAATCCCCAGCCCCTGACCCCCCATTCTTGTCTTGCCATGTGGGTGACATGGCACACCACCCCCAGCCCCCACTGCCCTGGTTGGCACATGTGACCTCTGCTGGAGCCTTGTCATCCCCGGCCTATCCAGCCTGCACCCATCTTCCCTCCAGGGCATGTGGGGACCCTCATGCCAGCAGGAGGGAGACTCACTGTCCAGGGGCTGCCAGAGCCAGCCTTCTGGCTGAGCAGAGTCCCAATCTTCCTTCCGCCCTCCTGTTTGGGGGACTCATGGGCAGTGGTCCTCCCCGATTTGCCTGTGCAGGGGTCATCTCAGTGAGGGCACCCTCCACAAGAGAGTGGTTGGGTGTGCACTCATATCCCATGTGTGTGTGATGACTGAGTGGACAGTTTCAGATCGGCTGAGTGTTACTGTGTTAACCTGTTGATTTGTGTTTCTTTTATTTTTTTGCGTTGGCACCGGGGCCTCGTGTCCGTGCCTGCAGATATGTGGTGGGTTAGGGTGTGCAGTAGCCTTGAATTCTCCAGCAGATTTGCATCAAGGCACCTTTGCCCTGTGCTGTGAGCCACATTGGTCAGGCTTTGGTATTGGGTAGCGCTGGCCTTGGGGAAATCCTTCCTCTGCTTCTGCTATTTGTCCTGGGCTGGTGCATGGATCCCAGGTGGTGGCCCGGGTCCACCTTGCCTACCTTGCCTTTTCTGTCTTTCTCCTGCCTTCTTTTCTTCTCTCTTCTTTTCCTTTCTTTGTTTTTGTTGTTGTTGTTGTTGTTTCTTGCTACCAGGGATCAAACTCGGTACCTTGCACTGAGCTAAATCCCTGGCCTCTTCTTTTCCTTTCTCTCTCCTCTCCCGCTTCCTTCCTTCCTTCCTTTCTTTTTTTTTTTTTGTACCAGGGATTGAACTCTGGTCCTTGTGCTTGCAAGGCAGGCAGTGGAACCACTGCCTTTCTTTTTTGTAGCACTAGGGATTGAACCAGGGCCTTCACACTGAGCTACATCCCCAGTCCTTTCTTATCTTTTATTTTGAAATAGGACTAAGTTGTCCAGGCTGGGCTCAAACTTGTGATCCTCCTACCTCAGCTACGTAGAGTACTGGCATTACAGGTGTATGAGCTGGGGGCTGGCTGTGGGAGGAAGTGGCAGGGAGGAGGATGGAAGATCTTGGTCAGGTCTCCTTCTCCCCTCATCTTGTCATCCCTGGTGGACAGTGCCTGGCCTGGAGGGGTTCAGGTCAGTGATGGGGCTGGAGCTGTGGTGTAGCCTTGGTGCATTGTTACTCTCAGGACCTTGTAGAGGTTTTGGGTGCTCACTGTTTATTCCAGTGGCTTTTGCCTTGTGGCTGTGAGCAGAATTTAGGGAAAAGTATTTGTGATCCTCCTTTCTCAGCCTCGTGAATAGCTGAGATTACAGGTGTGTGCCACTGCACTGGGCTTCTTTGGCTGTTTTTTTGGGGGGGGAGGGTATTTGAGACAGGGTCTCACTATGTAGTTCAGGCTGGCCTTGCACTCACTATGCAGCCCAGGCTGCCCTTGAACTCATGGTCATCCTTCTAGCATCAGCCTCCCAAGTGCTGGGATTACAGGCTTGTGCCATCATGCCTGGCTTTTGCTGTTTTAACTCCTCATTTTGGCGGGAACTTGTGTCTTGATATTTGAACAAGCTTCTGAGCAGCTCTTGTGGCTTTGACACGGCGCCCTGGTTGGCAAGCTCTAAGTCCTGTCTTGTGTTACTCAACGAGGGAAGAAGAAGAAAGCCAGGAGCTTAAAATAGCCCAGTGTACTTTTCCAGGCCCACAGCTGCATCTGGGTCCAGGGATCCCCGCCTCACTGCAGAGACTTGGTGAATGGTGTCACCCAGCTGGCCCTGCTGACCGGCTCCCTCCTGTGGCTGCAGTTGCATCTGGTTCTCATGAGCTGCTCTTACCCAACCTGTGTCCACCTCCCATCCCAGCTCCCATCCCCTCCTGCTCCCTCAGCTTCTGGCCATGAGTCCCCGCCTGTCCTTCAAGGCCTTGAAGCTTGCTGAGGGACAGGAGTTGAGAGGTGCCTCCCATCTCTGTGCTGAGATCCACTGCCCTCCGGGGATGGGCACATGAGGGCCCAGTGTGCACAGTGCACAGAAGAGGGCAGGAGAGACCTTGGCCACAGGAGCAGCTGTGTGGCCCGACATAGCCTCCTTCATCAGGAAAGGTGGACTGTGACTGTGTTTGCATCCTGCCACCTGGTTTTCCCCTCCTGCCTTTGTACCCCAGCCCTGGGGACCCCCCGTCATAAGTGTGAGCCAGCCAGCCAGGAACCTCACTGGGGCATGCAGGGTCAAAAAGACACTTCCCGGGGGTGCTAGCACAGGTCTCCCCTGGAGGGGAGCTGTGAAGGAGTGAGCTGGTGTCAGAGGGCTCAGCACACGGTCATCCTAGAGATTGTGTTGGCTTTGTTTTTGATTTTTGTGTGTGTGTTGCTGAGGCTGCGACCTAGAGTTTCATGGATGCTAGGCGAGTGCTCTACTGCTGAGCCACATCTCAGCCCTTGTATTTTCATACGGGGACTTGTTAAATGGCCCAGGTTGGCCTTGAACTTTCAATCCTTCTGCCTCAGCCTCCTAGAGTGTTGGTATCACATGCACAGCCAGTGAGCTTGGCTGAGGTGGTTTTATAAGCAACAGGACCTGGGTAGAGCCAGCCATGGGAAATGGCACACAGAGGCAGCTGGGAGACCTTGCAGGGCTTGCAGATCCCTCCCCTAGGGCATCACTCAGGCTGAGACCCAGCACCAGGGACTTGATCTCGTATTCTTCTGCCTGCATAGGCCTTGGACTTGAGTCTCTGCCCAGGCCTGGCTGGTGGACTCTGCAGACCAGTGAGAGGAGAGATGCGAGCTCTTAGCAGGACTCGCTGGAGACACAGGTTACAGGCACACGGCTGTGTAGACTCAGGCTGGAGGGTGTGACAAGGTTTGGGGGACTCACACCCTGGTACTGGCGACAGCCTCACCTCATCTGCCCACACGTTTGTGGTGGGCAGTGACCAGGGATGTGGATGCTCTGCCTAATTTATGGGTTTTGCACAGTCCACACTGTGCTGCTCCTGGGGGTATAGGCTGCCCTCTGTGGGGAGCTCCCTAAGGGGCCGCATGGGGTTCACATCCTGGACTTCAAGGTGTTCTTCCGTGTGCTGTGACCACCTCTCCCCCAGGCCAGCCCTTTCCACTCTGTCCTTCAGCAGCAAGGCTGGCTGTGGGCCAAGCCAGGGGCAGACCTGCTCCTAGATGGCCTGGTAGCTCACGGCCTTCCTGCCCTCATGACTCTGCTCATCTCATGTTCTTTTCACAGTGGCCGTGGGGACAGAGTCATGGAAGTTAAATGTGTCTGTGTTTTCTTTCTCAGCTGGAGCGGGGCGATTTCCTATCAGAAGAGTGGAGAGAGCGGATTGCCAACACGAGGTACGGCTGCAGGGCTGTGCTGCTCATGGGCTGGGGCCTGGCTGGTGCTGGCTGTCCAGGTCTCTGCCATATGCATTCTTCTCTGAGTGCCAGCCCCACTCAAGCTCCTGCGTGGCTGCCAGCCTGGCCACGTGGCCCTGTGTGGGGCAGTGGGTGGCCAGGACCCCGAGTGCTGGTCCTGTGCATGAGCAGTGTCCTCAGCTGTCCTGTCACAGGCTTTGCCAGAGGGCCCTGCTGCACTCCTCCTGGCCCTTAAAACCACCACATACCTGCTCTGTCCTCAGCTCCCAGTTGGTTTCCGGTCAGCTGCCATTTGCAGTGTCTTTGTCTTTTCTGTGCTTGTCCGGTCTTTGGTGCCTGCTCTCTGCCTTTCATAGGCTGCCAGGGAATGTCTCCAGATGATGTGGGTTTCAAACTATCGTGGTTCAAACCCTGGCCCATCCAAAAGGGACTGACTGATGTCTCCCCATGGCCCTGGGCCCCACAGATGAGTTCCTGGGATGGGTGTGGGCAGTGCCTGGCAGTGGCAGCCTGTTGTCCACGCTGGGACTCTGCACTTTCGTGACATGGAACATTGGTTTTACTCAACTGGAACATTGTTTTGCAGTGTTATATTTGTGAATAACTTTGCCTTTGGTCCTGAGGTGGATCACCAGCTGAAGGAGCGATTTGCAAACATGAAGGAAGGTAATGCAGCCCATCTACCCAGGCCCTGTGTCTACAGGTCCCAGGGCAGGGGGACCTTATTCCTGTTGTGTTCTGATACCCTAACCTGGGTTTTCAGTCAGGAATCTACTGCTCATGGATTCATATCCCCAGTGCCCAGGCTACAACCTGCAAGCTGCTGCTTTCCCGGGTGTTGAGGTGGCTTGTCCACCCAAGCCCCTGCCACAGAGCCTTCTCCTGGAGGTCAGACAGGCCTATGGCTGATGTGGTCTTGACAGTTGCCCACCCAGGCTGTAGAACCTGGGCTGTGGCTGTGTCTAGTGTGAGCTTGGGGCACTGTCCTGCAGCCCATGGCTCCTTGGGTCTCCTGGCCTAGGGTGAGATGTGGGCAGCACATCTGCCCACGTTGCCCATCCTCACAGACAGAGTGCCCACCAGCCAGGCTGCTTCCCGTGCCACAAGCCAGGAGACAGATGGGGTGAGGATAGCCTTCTTCCAGTTTTGTTGTGAAAATGTCAGGCAGGCAGCGTAAAACGAGTCCCCAGCTACCCAAGCACTGCTGTCAGGACGTGGTACGCGTGTCTGCGTATGCACTTCGTCCTGTGAGTGCGGGTCCTGTGAGTGCGCGTGTGCCTGCGTGGAAGCTGTGGTGAAGCCTGTTCCTGGATTACTTTAGAATCACAAGCTCCAGGCTGCATGCTCCACCCCAAGGGCACTCCTCCCTTGGGCACTGTTGTCACCTCAGAGAAGGAACAGTGACTCCTGTACAGGCCATGATTGCCTTTCTAGTTTCAGCTGTCCCAAGGGCAGCTGTCAGGAACCTGTTCCCCCAGCGTTCCAGCCAGCATTCATGTGTGGCTGCTCCTGTGACCTGTTCTCTCACATTCCCTCTGGTTTTTGTTCTTATTTTTTATTTTTGAGACTGGGTCTCACCCTGTAGTTCAGGCTGGCCTTGAGCTCACTATGTAGCCCAGGCTGACCTCAAACTCACAGTGATCCTCCTGCCTCAGCCTCCCTGGGATTACAGGCTGGGATTACAGGTTTACGCCACCACACCCGGCCAGTTTTGTTTTGTTTTGTTTTGTTTTTTGCTTTTTGTACCTGGGATGGACCCCAGGGCGTTGTACCTGTGGGACAAGTGTTCACCATTGTGTCATACCCCAGCCCTGATAGCCTTGTTTTAACAATTCGAGTTTGAGCATTGGGCTGTGTTGTGATGTCATGAACATCCAAGACTTCTCTCTATATGTACTCCAGCCTTTCATGTGCTGGCTCCTGGGTGCTAGGATGTCTGGTTGTCAGGAGAGCTAGGCTTGGTGCTGCAGGTGCCCTTTCTTACTGGCCCTGCCTTCAGAAGGTCTCTGTCACCTCAACTGACCCTGCTGGCACTTGCGGTCACAGGAGGCTCTGCAGAAGGGAGGTGACTAGCACTGCCATGCATACTGAGGTGGTCTACAAAGCTTCCCATCACACCCCTCCACTGGGTGAGGTGTCATCATGCTCGATGGGTAACTGGTCACTACCACCATCCCTGCTCTCTGGAACTCAGATGATGCCAGATGTGCCCTGCTTGTCATCTGTGATGCTTGTTCCCTCCCTTCCACAGCAGGGCCCCCAGCCTGACCCTGTGCTGTCCCAGCCCAGCCCTCTTGCATTGAGGGAGTGAGAGCCTTGAGGTGTACATGAGTGTGCATGGGTGTAAACGGTTATATGTGTTTGGACTTCTTTAATTTCATATTTTCTGTAGTACAGGGGATAGAACCTATGACACTGGACTGCATCCCCAGCTTTTTTTTTTGGTACCAGGGATCAAACTTGGGTCCTTGTGCTTGCAAGGCAGGCGGTAGAACCACTGAGCTAAATCCCCTGCCCTTCTAGCTCTTTTTTTATTTGAGAGAGGATCTTGCCAGGTCACAAAGTTGTCTAGGCTGGGCTTGAATTTGTAATCCTCCTGCCTCAGCCTCCATTATTTTTTATTTTTATTTTTTTAAGACAGGATCTGTCTTTGTTGTGCAGACTGGCCTTGAACTCACTATGTAGCCCAGGCTGGTCTTGAACTCATGATAGTCATCCTGCCTCAGCCTCCCAAGTGCTGAGATTGCAGGCTTTCACCATCATGTATGGCTCTTTTTGATTTTTAATTTGTTTTTCTTTATTCTTACAATAAACAGCTTGGTTCCTAAAAGCATTAGTATGTATTTAATAAATACTTGATACATCTATTCTTAGTGTGTGTTTAGTATGTATGATTTTTTTTTTTTTTTTTGATACTGGGGATGGAACTCGGTCCTTGCATTTGCAAGGCAGGCGGCAGAACCACTGAGCTAAATCCCTAGCCCTAGTATGTATGATTTTTTTGCAGCATACATAAAATACCCTCATAGTTTCAGGTAGTAATAATAATACCAATATTTAACAGTAAACTTAGTGAAATGTAAAGTTTCTTACTCTTTTGTCCTTAGAATTTAACAGCGCAGTCTGACTACTGTGTGTAAGAGTTATTTAGAAGAATTATTTGTCCTATCTGGCCATTACCATGTTGATCCTGCAGTTGGGTTTTTTTTTTTTTTCTGGTTACATACAGGTTACTCTTTTTAGCTTTCAGGTCTGCTTTTGAATGGAAACATTCACATGTAGCCTTGCCTTTGCTGACTCCCCAGGGGGCCCTTTCTTAGCACCTCCTGGCCTGCTCTTCTAGATCTTCTAGTGTTGTTTGGTTGGTTTTTGTATTTTGGGACAAGGTCTTGGCTATATATTCCAGGCTGGTGATCCTCCTCCCTCAGCATCTTTTTTTTTTTTGGTACCAGGGATTGAACTCAGGTCCTTGCGCTTGTGAGGCAGGCGGCGGAACCACTGAACTAAATCCCCAGCCCTTCCCTCAGCATCTTGAGTGCTAGAATTATAGTCCTACACCACTGTGCCCGCGCGTGTGTGTGTGTGTGTGTGTGTATGCGCGTATGCGCGCGCTGGGGATGGAACCCAGAGCCTCCCACGTGCTAGCAAGCACTCTACCACCGAGCTACATCCTGAGTCCTGTAGCGGGTATTTAAAGACTCTGCTGTATGCATACCAATTGCCCTGCTGTTCCTCATTTAATAGTGAACCCCAGAATTCACATCAGTGGTGGTGGTGGCCTCACTCCCTTGTGGCTGTCTCTTCCTCCACCGTGTGGTGATCCTGAGCCCCTCTGCTACCTTTTTCCCAAGCATTGGTGTAGCCAGACACTGTGCAGCAAGGTCATTGCTGTCTGTGAAGGTGGCTCTGAAGGGTCATTGTCCTTCATTTGATATTCTGGAGTCAGAGGTCAATACCAATGAGATTTTATGAGAACCTGAGTATTTATTTATTTTGCTGTACTGGGGATGGAACCTAGGGCCTTTGCATTGAGCTACTATGTGTTCTTTTTTTTTTTTCTGCAGTACTGGGGATCAAACTCATGACCTTGCCCTTATAAGGCAGCTGTTGCGCCACTGAGCTAAATTCCCAGCCCTATGTGTTCTTACTTTTATTTTGAGACAGGGTCTCCCTAAATCACTTAGGTTGTCCTCCCTGTGCTTAAACTTTCAGTCCTCTTGCCTCAGCCTCACAGAGCTCTGGGATTAAAGGCGAGCATCACCACAGCAGTTTGAAAACATTTTCAAGGAGAGTTATGTGTAGGACAGGATTAAATTTACCCATTGAGGGGTAAGGAAGTAGACAGGAGTCAGGCCCTGGTGTTTATGTTTAGAGCACTCGTTTTTCCTTTTGTAACTTTTTGCCACACTCTTAAGTTCCATGTCTCTCAGTTGTGATGTGTGTGTCCATTTGTTTACCCCATGAATGGCAATAATCAGTTTTTGTGTTTCAGGTGGCAGAATTGTGTCCTCGAAGCCCTTTGCACCTCTGAACTTCAGAATAAACAGCAGAAACTTGAGTGGTAATAAGCTCTTGTGTTGCTAGATTTATGATCTTGGTCACTCTGTAAACTACTAACATGCCCCAAGACAGGGTGTCCCCTTGACAGAGTTCCTGCTGGGGCTGGTCATTCTCCAGGGTGGGTGTCCTGGGCACTTCAGGGTGCCAGGTGGTATCCCTGGCCTCTGCCTGCTCTCTGCCAGGTTCCCCCCCGCCCACATTGTGACAGCCACAAATGTCCCAGACATCACTCATTGTCCTTTGGTGAGGCAGGATCACCTAGGTGAGCCCTGCACCTCTGAGAGGAGGTGATGCAGAAGGACAAGCCTTGGGGTGTTGGAAGCTGCGGGGCAGGGCTGTTCCCTCCAGCATCCTGCTGGCTCCCACTGTGGGCTCTGTAGGTTCCTCGCTGTTGACTTGCATGGTTCTTCTCAGGAGCTGCCTGTGTAAACACTGGTGTCCTCATGGCCGCAGTCTGAATGTCTCCTGGTCACTTGGTGGGCCTTTCTGCTTGATTGGGCACATCACCTTTCCTGACAAGCCCCGCCCTCCTGTTATGGGCTGCCAGTCATGTGCTGGCCCGCCCTCTGTGGCCTGGTGACTGGGTCCAGCCCAGGGACGCCATGGGCCACCTGGGATGGTGGGCAGAGATGAAGGCTGGTGGCCGTAGCTTAGGGTCTGTCTCCCTGGCTGGCTGGGCATTTGGGGTGCTGTGCACACACCTCTGGTGGTCAGATCCTGGCAGCCAAGGTCACAGCACAGGCCCTGACCTGTCTCTGTCCCCCCCCCCCCCCCCCCGCCCCCAGACATCGGCACCATCATGCGTGTGGTGGAGCTGTCGCCCCTGAAGGGCTCCGTATCATGGACGGGGAAGCCGGTCTCCTACTACCTGCACACTATTGACCGTACCATAGTGAGTGTCCCAGACACTGCCCTGACTGTGAAGTGTTCCTGCCCCTGCCTTGTCCCTGGGCTGCTGTTCCCCTCTGCTCCTTCCCCGTGGAGTGGCAGCAAGGCCTGGGTCAGGGCTACTTGGTAGCTCTGGGCTCTGGGGGGTGCATGTCTTCCTGAATGACATGGGACAATGAGTGTGCCCTTGTCACCCAGAGACCTGCAGTGTGTAGGTGGCCTGTCTTGTCCTTGACTGCCTATTCCCAGCTCTCTCTGCATGAGACAGAGCTCTGAGGCTTGGGCTGTCTTCAACATGCTCTGGCTGGTGTGTGACTCACCCCTTCCCCTGAGCACCCCCTCTATGGACTGCCCTGTTGCTTTCCCTGTGCTGAGGTGCTACTACCCACGTGTCCCAACCCATGTCCATCGCTCACCACAGCCTGGGTGACACAAGTCCGTTCTGGGGAGTGTGGATGGAGACTGGTGGCCACAAGTGACATGGGGCAACTGGGCAAGGGCATGAGCTGAGCAGCCACCTTTGCTGCCCTGCCACCATGGCCACATGACCTGAACAGGTGTCCTGGGGTGGGCTGATGTTTCTGCGAGGGGAGGTGGTGTCCCTGGAGTGTGTGCCCAGCTGTGACTGGGTGGTGAGGATGGTGCCTGGCCACCCTGGGTGTTACAGGGCCCTATCACACACAGGTCACTACTGCTGGCACCTGCTGGTGTGCTTGGTCCCCAGGTGTGGGTGTGACTTACGGACACGTTCATCAGAGGTGTTGCCTTCATTTTGGCAGTCTGCGATTCACTTCTAATAAGCATGTTTTTCTCTTTTTAGCTTGAAAATTATTTTTCTAGTCTGAAAAATCCAAAACTCAGGGTAAGTGTTTCTTTTTCCATGATTCAGTAATGTGGAACATCTGAGAGGTGCTAAGTTGCTAGGGTGGGGTGGTAGTTTGAGGACCTTGTTCCCCCCAGTCCTCTCTGGATGCAGCCTTTTTCCAGTGCTTTGCTGTGTGCATCCCTGTGGAGCCCTGTCTGTGGTATTCCTGGGAGATGCCCATTTTACCCTCCCTTAGAGAAAAGGGGGTCTTGCCAGCCTGGTCTGCCTGTCCCTGTTGTTCCAAATGCCAATCTGTAGAACCCAGGTGGGTAGGACCTGCTTCTCTGGCCTTGGCTGCCTGGTGAATTGCCACCAAAGATGACCACATGCCTATCTCAGTGACCTTTCTTGGTAGAGTTAGATGTCAGCACAGGGATGCCCATCTCTAGCCCTTTCCTTGTTCCCTGACAGATGGGGCTGGGCTGTGGGCATGCATTGGCCTGGCTCCCTGCTGGCCCTCAGGCCATGTCCTTTCTGTGTGCCCAGGAGGTACCCAGAGTTTCCAGTGACTCTCAGGGGAACTCTGTCCGGCCCAGCCTGCCTGTGGGGGCCCTGGACCTCTCTGTGGCAGTGGGGGTGCTGCTGGACCTCTCCTCCTCCTCTGGCATTTCCTCCATCCTAGAGGCCGTTCCCTTTTTCCCTGGTCAAAGTCAGAGGCCCTGGCCTGTGTCCCTCTGCACAGCTGTGAATGTCCCGGTGAGGGCTGCCACTCAGGCTCTGTGCCTCAGTTTGCTCATCTGTGTCTGGGCGGAGGAGTTGATGCAGGCAGCACTGGGGTCATCAGGACACTTGTCTGACTCTCCTCCCAGGAGGAACAGGAAGCTGCTAGGCGCCGGCAGCAGCGAGAGAACAAGAGCAATGCAACCACTCCAACCAAGGTCCCTGAGAGCAAGGCGGCTGGCCCCACCGAGACCCCCATGGTAAGACCTGCCCACATGCACCTGGGATGCCGGGGACTTGAGTCTTGCAGGGCTGTGCTACGCACCCTGTGCCGCCTGTGGGGCTGCATATGACCCATGCAGGCCCCCTTCCTGCTGTTGACCTAACTCTCCATCCACCAGGATTCTGGTGCTGAGGAAGAGAAGACAGGGGTGACCACCGTCAAAAAGCCATCGCCCTCCAAAGCCCGGAAGAAGAAGCTGAACAAGAAAGGGCGGAAGATGGCTGGTCGGAAGCGTGGGCGGCCCAAGAAAATGAACACTGCGAACCCTGAGCGTAAGCCCAAAAAGAACCAAACTGCACTGGATCTCCTCCATGCCCAGACTGTGTCCCAGACGGCATCCTCCTCGCCCCAGGGTGAGCAGCCATGGGCCCAGTCCACACCATGCCTGGCCTCACATTTTCACCCAGGCACAGTGTCTGGGTCCCCAGACAGTCACATGGGGTGGTCACACCTTGAGCCCACCCTTGTCAGGGCAGTGGAAAGAGCAGAGACCACCCAGAAGTACAGCAGCACCGTATCCTGCGCCAGGCCTCCTGGGGTCTCCACACAATGCGTGGGGCTTGGTCCTCACCTCACTGCAAGGCAGAGTCTTGTGTAAAACACAAAGGCAGGGCTGGGTACATAGATGGACACCTGTCATCCCACCACCTCTGGGAGGCTGAGGTAGCAGGATTACAAGCTCAAGCCCAGCCTGGGCAACTTAGCAAGATCTGTCTCAAAATAAAGGTTGGGCAGGGCTGGGGATTTAGCTCAGTCGTGCTGCCACCTGCCTCACAAGTGCAAGGTCCTCAGTTTGATCTTTAGTACCAAAAAAAAAAAAAGAAAGAGAGAAAGTTTGGGGATATTGGGAGTACAGCTCAGTGTTAAGGCCCTGTTTTGTTTTTGTTGTTGTTGTTTTTTAAGGCCCTGGTTTTAATCTCTAATACTTAAAAAAAAAAAAATAATGAAGGCAGAAGCAGTGTTGCCCATAGAGGTTTCAGAAGTCATGGATTCAGCACTGGTGGGGGGTGCAGCAGTTGTCTGGTGGTCAGGACCACAGGATGTGGTGTTTAGGGAGTTCTCTGGACTCTGAGAAACGCCCTGAGCCTCTCATCTACACAGCCACATAGTTGCCCACCCGATTGGTGGGGCTGAGGGGAGTGGCGAGGCTGACATAGGGGTGGCACTCTTCCCCGCAGATGCTTACCGGTCCCCTCACAGCCCATTCTACCAGCTACCTCCAAGCATGCCTCGGCACGGCCCCAACCCGCTGCTGGTGGCGCCCACCCCACCCGCACTACAGAAGCTGCTAGGTGAGTCTCGACGGGAAGGTGCCAGCTGGGACCTTGGCCTTGGGCTGTGGGCTTCCAGGATGGGTGCCGGGTTCTGTGGGCCGTGGCTCCCACCTCACAGATCAGGCTGGGGGCTCCTAGTGACCCCATGCTGAGCCCCCTGATGGGCAGGGGCTGGGCTCAGATGCACCAGGCAGGTTGGAAGAGGCTCAGGTTGGGGCCTTATGAGCATCAGAGACAGGGGACCCTGAGTGATGTCTACGACACGTGCGGTTGTGTCTAGGGTGCTCTTGGCATGAGGCAGGTACACATCAGGGACACTGCTGAGCATCCCAGAGGACACCTCACTGTTGGAGTCCCTGCACACTGTCAGAGTGTCCTGGGGAGCCATGGGGAACCATCATGTACAGTGTGGGTACCACACACATAGCCTGAGGCCATCTCTGGAGGTTGTCCAGCCACCTGCCCCCCACGCCTGTGTCTGACATATCTCCCACCCTACCCTCTCCCTCGGGTGGGCTTGCATGAGGGCCCTGCCCTGCGTGTCCTATTCCCACAGCCATGTCCTTTGTCTCTAGAGTCCTTCAAGATCCAGTACCTGCAGTTCCTGGCATACACGAAGACACCGCAGTACAAGGCTAACCTGCAGCAGCTGCTGGACCAGGAGAAGGTTCGAGTGGCTGTGGCCGGGGTGACTCAGGGTCTGTTTCCCTGTGATGGTCCCTGTGTCACCACCCCTCCTGCTTGCAGGAACGGAATGCTCAGTTGCTGGGCACGGCTCAGCAGCTCTTTGGACACTGCCAGGCCCAGAAGGAAGAGATCCGAAGGCTTTTCCAGCAGAAACTCGATGAGGTAGTGCCCCGGACTTATTCTGGCCACCCTGGGACCCTTTCCCAGCTGAGCTCTGACCAGGCCCTGGGGGTGGGCGAAGTCCAGCGGATCAGCCTGCTTGGCTCCTCTGCTTTTCCCAAAGTACTCTCCTCACAGAATTCCCTGGGACCTGGGGTAGGCTCTGGCTGTATCCTTGAGGCTCCCTCTACTCTTCTCTGTGGCCCCACCTGTCCCTTCCCCTCTGGCACCTAGGGGAAAGCTGTACCCTTCCCCTTTGGGAAGACATACTAGAGCCCCTCAGGTCACCACAGGGTTTGTCCCTACAACCCATGAGCCTCACTCATGTTGTCACCTGGATCTCCAGCTGGGTGTGAAGGCACTGACCTACAATGACCTGATCCAAGCCCAGAAGGAGATCTCAGCCCATAACCAGCAGCTTCGGGAGCAGTCGGAGCAGCTGGAGAAGGACAACAGAGAGCTGCGAAGCCAGAGCCTGCAGCTGGTACGTGTACCAGCCTGTCGGAGGGCCCTCTGGAGCCTTGTGGAGCACTCATGCTTGGTCCTGGGCCCCAGGCTGGGTGGAGGCCTGATGCCCCAGTTCCCTGGTCAGTTATGCAGTCCGCAGGCACAGGTGGCCAGAAAGTCCCTGTCTGGGCCCTGTGAGGAGTCCTGGCTTTGGTGCAGCTTTCTAGGTGGAGACCTTGCCTGGTCCCAGAGGATTGAGGTGAACTGCCTCAAGTTGGCCCCTGGCATCTGCCTGGGGATCCCTGGCACCCCGCTCTGCTCCATTCTCCCCCAGTGTGTCCCTGGCTAGGCTCCACTGAGACGCCATCCCTGTCCCCACAGCTTCGGGCACGCTGCGAGGAGCTTAAGCTGGACTGGTCCACACTTTCCCTGGAGAACCTACGCAAGGAGAAGCAGGCACTTCGGAGCCAGATCTCTGAGAAGCAGCGGCACTGCCTGGAGCTGCAGGTGGGCCCTGGAGCCCCAGAGATGACTGAGGGGGCTGTGACTCCAGGCCAGCTCTCTGTCACCCTCATGGAGAGCTCAGGGGCCTCAAGGCTCCATTCTGAACCTCAGATCTTGGTGCCTCCAAGTAAATAGCTTGTTAAAAGGTCACTGGTAGGATTTGCTCATTCAACAAACAGCTGATTGGGCCGGGGATTTAGCTCAGTGGTTTCGCTGCCTGCTGTGCAAGCGCAAGGACCCGAGTTCGATCCCCGGTACCAAAAACAAAAAAACAAAAAACCAGAAAAACCCCAGCTGATTATTTTGATGATGAGAGAAGTGTGCTCAGCAAGGCGGGAAAAGCGGGAGAAGAAAGGGAGTGTAGGCTTGAGTGTAGGCACTTCCTCTCCATGCCTTCCTGCGGCAGCTTGCATGAAGGCTCAAGTACTTTAGGGGCAAGATGTGTAGCCTTGGCTTCAGAATCTAAAATCCCCATCCGGTAGGCTGTGTACAGTGCAGTGTCTTGTGATTTACAGCACCCGTCACTGGACTCTTTCTGGGATGTGGTTCTTTGTACTAGACTGTTTTTTGTTTTTGCTGTACTAGGGACTAAACCCAGGGCCTTCGCACTGAGCAACATCTCCAGCTCTTATTTTGAGACAGAGTTTCACTAAGCCACTATATTGTCCAGGCTGGGCTTGAACTTGCCATTTTCCTGCCCCAGCCTGCCAGAGTGCTGGGATCTTGGGCATGTGCCACCGTACCTGGCCCAGAGACTTTTTTTTGTTGTTTTTTTGGTAGCGAGGACTGAACTCAGGTCCTTGCGCTTGTGAGGGAGGCAGCAGAACCACTGAGCTAAATCCCCGGCCCGTCCAGAGACTTTTTAAGGCTATTTCCTGAATAACATATTCCCAGAAGTAGTTTTACTAGCTTTCAAAGGTTCCATGACATGTCTCCCTGCTGTATTTGTGGTGTCACCCCCAGAACACCTTGGTGTGCACACCACCCAGAGCCAGCTGTGGTGGCACACACCTGTAATCCCACTGCTCTGGGAGGCTGAGGCAGGAGGATCACTTGAGCCCAGGTTCTCCATACCCCTCCTCTTTTCTTTCACAGTAAGTACCGGAGATGGAACATAGGAGCTCCACACCGAATTCCATCCCCAGCCGTTTATATTTTTTATTTGAGAGACAGTCTTATTGATGTGCCCAGGTTGGGCTGGGAACTTGTGATCCTTGTGCCTCAGCCTCCCAGAGTACTAGGATGTCAAGTGCACACCACTTCACACAGCTGAGCTCAGGGATCTAGGGTGAAGCGCCATCTCAAAAAAAAAAAAAAAAAAAAAAAAAAAGGTTTGCTGTTTTAGTGATCAAATGAAGCCTGTTTCTACACTTTTAGCCTGGGAGTGAAGTTTTCAGGTAGTTTCTGACTTTTTTCTTTTTTTTTTTTTGTGGAGCTGGGGATAAAATTCAAGGTCTTGCACAAAAATAGGCAAACACTATACTACTGAGCTATGGCCCCACCTTTTTTTAAGGTTTGGTTGTTCATGCTTATAATCCCAGCACTTGGGAGACTTGAGACAGGAGGATTGCTGTGAGTTCGAGGCCAGCCTAGGCTACATAGTGAGACTGCCTCAAACAAACAAGGGCTGGGGATTTAGCTCAGTGGCTCCACACCTGCCTTGCAAACACAAGGTCTTGAGTTCGATCCCCAGTACAGGAAAAAAACCCAAAAAACAAACAAACAAAAAATCAGTGTGGAGACAGGGTCTTGATAAGTTACATGAGACTGGCCTTTAACTTGCACTTGGAATTGTCCTGCCTTAGCCTCCCAAGTGGATGGATTGCAGGGGTGTGGCACTGTACTTGGCAGAACATCTTATCCTTAGACAGCTTGGGCTTTTTCACTCTGCACAAGCGATGAGCATCCTGGCAGCTGCTGGTGTGGTCACCTTTGGTTCCTTCCTCGGGAGGGTCCCTCCTGTCGTGGATGGATAGGGGATGGGACCTGGGGGGTGCCCTGGGCTGTGTGGCCACCCTACCACCTGGCAATCTGACTACCACCTCTTGCCCCACAGATCAGTATCGTGGAGCTGGAGAAGAGCCAGCGGCAGCAGGAGCTCTTGCAGCTCAAGTCCTGTGTGCCTCCTGACGATGCACTGTCTGTGCACCTGCGTGGGAAGGGTGCCCTGAGCCGAGAGCTAGAGGCCGAGACCGCCGGCAGGCTGCACCTAGAGCTGGACTGTGCCAAGTTCTCCCTGCCTCCCTTCAGCAGCATGAGTCCCGAACTCTCCATGAATGGCCATGCCACCAGCTATGAGCTCTGTAGTGCGCTGAGCCGGCCCTCGTCCAAGCAGAACACCCCTCAGTACCTGGCTTCCCCCTTGGACCAGGAGGTTGTGCCCTGCACCCCCAGCCACAGTGGCCGGCCTCGGCTGGAGAAGCTGTCTGGCCTGGCTCTGCCCGACTACACCAGGCTTTCCCCGGCCAAGATCGTGTTGCGGCGGCACCTGAGCCAGGACCATGGAGGGTCAGCCAAGGCAGCAGCCAGTGAGCCACATCTGAGGTGAGTACCCCAGGGCTTCTTGGGATCTCAGTAGGCCCACATGTGTTTGGAAGAGGTTAGGAGGTTTCCGAGGGTTCCCAAGAGTGACGTGGTTTCCTGTTGCAGAGCTGAGCATGCCAAGGAGAACAGCCTTTCCTACCAGAGCCCTGGTCTGTCCAACAGCATGAAGCTGAGCCCTCAGGACCCAAGGCCCCCTTCTCCTGGGGCCATCCCCACAGTAGGGGAGAAGAACAGCGAGAAGGTGAGGGGCACTGGCCCTGTCCCGTCTGTGGCCCTAGGGTCCCCCAAGCTGAGTGCCAAACAAAACAGGCTCCCCAGGTTTCAGAGGTGCTAGAAGGAGAGTTCATCCAGGGTGACTTTAGGGCTCCATGAGGGGCATAGCCTAGCCTGGAGGATCCATAGAGCTATTTAGGGTCCCAGAGATGTGCAGCCAGGTAATGACAGGGCAGGGGACCCAGGCAAGTCCTATGGTGCAGGTTCCAGAAGCGGACTTTGCCAGGCTGGCCCTCAATCTGACCATGCTGGAGCCAGTTTAGAAGTTGTTGCCCCAGGGCATTTGCCATGGGGGCATGGAGGGAGGTGGTAAAGGGGCCAGTAATGGCCCTGGAGGCTAGGAAACCAGGCCAGGCAGGTAGGAGGAGGGGCAGTGTGGGAGTGGTGTGGGGACCTCAGGCCTCAAGGTGACCCAGGGTGGTCCCCAGAGGTTCGTCGGGGAGGCAGTTCACACACGAGGGCTGAGGTCTGCATCTGTGTAGGGCGGGAAGGAGCGCATTTACAGCAGCCATGGGGAGACCATCACCAGCCTGCCCATCAGCATCCCACTCAGCACTGTGCAGCCCAACAAGCTTCCTGTCAGCATTCCTCTGGCCAGCGTGGTGCTGCCCAGCCGCGCCGAGAGGGTGGTGAGCCATGGGCCAGGCTGCTGTGGGCAGAGGGGCCGGGGTGGGCATTTTGTGTTTGGCACAACCCAGTTCCTTTTTGTTATATTGGATGCCGTTCTATTTTAAGAGCACTGCTGCTCCCCAGCCACTAGAGCACAGGGAGTCCAGGTTTGACTGCCGCATGTTAGCTGTTCTCACCTCCAGTCTGTTTCTGGTGAAAGGTGGCATGAGTGGGTGGAATAGAGTCCTCTGCCTGAAATCCTGCCCCAGCCCGCTGACCCACTATGGGTTTCTCTCGCAGAGGAACACCCCTAGCCCTGGACCGCAGCCCCGAGACTCCTCATCCACTCTTGAAAAGCAGATCAGTGCTAATACCCACGGTGCTGGGAGCAGTGCCTCAGGAAGCCGGAGCCTGGCCCTGGCATCTTCAGGTAACCCTTGTCCTACCCCATTGGCCTGCTCATAGCCTGGCCACTGTCCCCGCCTGGGGCCAACCTGCCCAGGCCTTTGGCTGCAGCCACTCTTCTTTAAAGAAGTTAGGAGGTGTGGGCAGGGTGGCTCATGCCTGTAATCCCAGCATTAGCAAGGGTGAGGCAGGGCTGGGGATTTAGCTCAGTAGTTCCACCACCTGCCCCGCAAGCACAAGGACCCGAGTTCGATCCCCAGTACAAAAAAAAAACCAAAACAGCAAGGGTGAGGCAGGAGAATCACAAGTTTGAGCCCAGCCTGGGCAACATAGCAAGACCCTATCTCAAGAGGGGGAAAAAAAAGTCTACAGTGAATATAACTCAGTAGTAGAGCATCCAAATTCTATTCCTAGTACTGTTAAAAAATAAAAAATAAAAAAAAAACCTGGGGTAGATGAAGGTCTCAGAGTGAGGCCTGCAGGCCTCAGGGGTGGCCAGTCCAGGTCGTATACTGTTCTTAACATCTGTCCTGGCAGCGCAGTCTGAGCTGGGCTTGGCAATGTGCTGAGCCCTGGGAGGTTGGGCTCTGAGACCTTGCGCTTCTGTAAACGAGCAACCTCTGGCTAGATTTTGTCCTGGGTGACATAGTCCCTGTGCCTGTCAGCTGTTGTCCTTGTCACCTGCCCAGCCAAAAAGTGGGGATTTCTGAGACCCAGGGTTTGAGAAGTGGCTCAGTGAACCCCTGTGAGTGTTGGAGTTGCCCGGTGTCCAGCCTGTTGTGATGATATGGGGCTCAGCTACCCTCCTGTGATGGCCAGGGAGCAGCCTCGCTTAGGTTTTGTTATAATTTAAAGCATCCAGAGGCCACATGTGAGTGATAGGACAAGACCTCACACCAGTACAGCTGTCTTTACCACAGTGGTGGCGGGTCACTCCACAGGGCCACCCCTCGGGTGGTTGTTGCCAGCCCTGGCAGCTGCTTTCCCAGGAATGGCAGGTAATATGCAGAAGCCACTGTCAAATCCAGATCCCTCCTATGGTCTCCTACACAGCCCCTTCCGTCCTCCCACCCCACACTGGGAGAAGACCCTGGCTGAAGTCACAGCATTGCTGGAGACACCCTGGAAGCCAGTTGGCTCCATCCTGTGGCAGCACCGCCACCTAGGGGTGTTCTCTGGCTGCCAAAGTGTGGGCTTTCCCTACTCAATGACTCTGGGGTGAGGCTCCAACCAGGGCCAGCTCCAGAAAGGTGTCCCCAGAGTAGGTGTCTCACTGAGACTAAGGCACAGGCTACTGCGATGGCTGGGAGGGTGACAGGTGAAAACCACAACAGCCTGGATGGCATGAGGGGCCCTGTCCCACTTGCCAGTGGCCATTGCCAAGCAGTCAGGGCTAGGGGCCAAGTTGTCACTGGCAGCATGTCCCAGGGCGAGATGATATGGGGCAGGTCCCTGTCCTTTCTTCCAAGGGGCCCCATGAGGCCTAGTACCTGCCTCCTGTATTGGAGATTGCCCCAGCACCCACCAGGGCTACCCCTGGGGGCCATCCCCAGGTCCATCCTCACTTCCTGAGCTCTCCCGGGCCCCTCCTAAGCTCGGACTCAGTATCCTTCCATGCCCCGAGGTGGGCTGGGCCCTGCCCCACCCTGAGAGCCCCATGTCCCTTCTGCAGGTTTCTCCTATGCTGGCTCCATGGCTATTAGTGGGGCCCTGGCTGGCAGTCCTGCACCACTGGTGCCTGGAGTTGAGCCAGCTACCTTTGACGAGTCCTCAGGCTCAGGGAACCTCTTCACCACTGTGGGGTCCCGAAGCACCACGCCACAGCACCCCCCTCTGCTGGCACAGCCTCGGAACTCGGGACCTGCCTCTCCCACCCACCAGCTCTCTGCTAGTCCCCGGCTTGTGGGGGCTGCCCAGGCCCTGCTTCCTGACACAGGCAAAGGTGATCTGCCCACTGATCCTGGCTTCTCGGACCCAGAGAGCGATGCCAAGAGGAGAATTGTGTTCACCATCTCGGCTGGTGTGGGCAGTGCCAAGCAGTCACCCTCCACCAAGCACAGCCCTCTGGCCCCAGGCACCCGAGGAGACTGTGGGCCAAGCCACGGGCAGGACAGCCGCAAGCGTGGCCGGAGGAAGCGCACGTCGGCTGGGACTCCCAGTCTGAGTGCAGGCGTGTCCCCCAAGCGACGAGCCCTGCCTACCGTTGCTGGTCTCTTCACCCAGTCCTCAGGGTCCCCTCTCAACCTCAGCTCCATGGTAAGGATGGGTGGTGCTGCAGAGCTCAGAGGGCAGGACCCTGGGGTGTCTGAGAAGCCTGGTCTACCTGGTCCACCAGGTGCAGGCTGAGGGGCAGGACTGGGTCTGTGTCACTGAGCTGGGCTGGGATAGGTGTGGGCATGGTGCCTGGACAGTAACAGTGACCATGGCTATGCCCATGACAGTGCCCTGCTGCTGGTCAGGCTCCAGATGCTTGGGCGGTCCCAGGGGTTCCTCAGTGTCCCCAAGACTCTGGGGCAGGTTAGAAAGTGCGTGAAGCCGTTCGATGTCTCGATTTGGGCCCCATGCATCCAGAGCAAGGCTGTGACATTCGCCACAGTATGCATGGACCTTGAGGACACTGTGGACTATGAGTGCATTTGTCTCCTCGGCTCCCTCAGGTCAGTAACATCAACCAGCCTCTGGAGATCACGGCCATCTCATCCCCTGAGAACTCCCTGAAGAGCTCCCCCGTCCCCTACCAGGACCACGACCAGCCTCCCGTGCTCAAAAAGGAACGGCCCCTGAGCCAGACCAATGGGGCACACTATTCCCCGCTGACCTCAGACGAGGAGCCAGGCTCTGAAGATGAGCGCAGCAGTGCCCGGTGAGTACGTGAGTGGGCAGTGTGCAGGCAGGGAGGCCTCCCATCAAGTGTGGCCTGCCTGGATTCATGTGGCAGGGAGGCAAGGGCTCCTTGACCTGCTCACTGGCACCAGCCCCAGAGAAGATTCTTAAACAGCCGGTTCAAAGTTCCCCATACAAAGCTGGGGCTGCCCGGTGAATCTACAGTGGCCAGGTGCACTTCCATCAGCTGGTCCAGCATTGTGTCCTAAGGCACAGTAGGGTTGGGGTGAGAGCCCACAGGGCAGGCAACTGGGCCGCAGCAAGGAAGGTGAAGAAACTGAGTTTCAGAACCTGGGAATGATGCAAGCCTGTCATCCCAGCTACTCAGGTGTTGAGGCAGGAGGGCCGCTGAGCCCAGGGATTTAAGGCCAGACCCCATCTCCTAGAAAAAAGTTTCAGAGTTGTATCAACATAGCTTGCCTCTGTTGTTTGTGAAGAGTTTTGTTTTGTTTTGTTTTTCTTGGTACTGGCTTGAACTCAGGACTTTGTGCTTGCCAGGCAGGCACAGTACCCCTGAGCTGCATTCTTGGCCCCTGAAGAATTATTTTTAATATGTCCCTTGGCACCAACAAGTCTACTTCCTGTCTCTGGAGTCACCTGTCCTGGGTGTTTTCTGTTCATGGAGCCCCTTGCTGTGTCCTCTGTGTCTGGCATCTGTCACTGAGCACAGCATCCTCAAGGTCCGTCTGCACTGTGGCGAGTGTCATGGCTTCACTCCCTGTCCTAGCTGAGTGATGTCCTGGCCTGGGCTGGACCTTGTTGTGTGTGTCTGTCCATCCGTCCTTCCCTGAACATGGGGTCTATTTCTGTCTTTACTTTCTTGTGAACTGTGCAGCTGTGAGCGTTTGTGTGCAGGTCTTTGTCTTCAAATCATGTTTCCATCTCCTCAGTGCCCCTTGGAATCCCAGGATCACTTAGGATCCTGTAGAATCTTCCTTTTGGGGAGGCACCAGCTTGTCTCCCACTGAGGCGCCTGTGGCTGTGTTTTGGTTCACTCCCCCAGCTGTTGTGCCTTTGGGGCACTGCTTTTCTGCTTGCTCACTTTTCCCCTTTGTCTTGCTGCTGCCTGTCTCGCACCCCTACACACACACAGCAGTTCTTTGAGTGTCTGGAGTGAACATCTGTCCCTGTCTGTGCGGCCACTGTGTTGTTCATGTGCTCTGCCTGCTTCGAAACAGGTCGGTCGTGAGCGTTCTTCACACACCAGGAAGCAAACTCCTGTCAGACGTGTGACCTGCGAGTCTCTTCTGCCCTCTGTGCATACCCAGTGCTGTGTTAGGTCCTTGAGTCTGTTTTTCGCTTGCTGTTTGTGGCGCTTTGGTGTCCTGAGTTACTTGCTTTTGCTCCTCTGCCACAGATACAGAATCTGTAAAGTGTGGCCCTGGGGCATTTCAAGCTTGTGTTGGGAATGCCCACCTGAGTCCTGCCAGGGCTATGTGAATTCTCCCGTACTCCTGGGTGGCGGGTGTCCTTTAGGGTGTGTGTGTGTCAGCAATGGTGAACACTGTGCCGCACTAGGGTCAGAAAGTTGAAACAGGCCACTCTGCTCTGGACCCACATGTTTCTCCATATGTTGAGAAACCACACCCATGTGCACCTGCCACAGCCCAGTTCCTGGCAGAGGGTCTGGAGTCTGACCCAGGACAACGTCCAGGGGTCTCATGAGGGTCCTGAGGGTCAGCTCTGTGTCTGTCCTCTCCCCAAGCTGTTGAGTGTTCCCAATCCTGATGATCCTGTAGCCCTTTCAGGATGCAGTTGGATTTGAAACATTAAGGACAGTTTTTCTTTTCCTTAACAGAATTGAGAGAAAAATTGCAACTATTTCCTTGGAAAGCAAATCTCCCCCGAAAACCTTGGAAAATGGTGAGTGGCAAGTGCTGCCTGCTGTTGCCCTTACCTGAGCCCAGGCCCAGTGACGGGCCAGGCCCGTTCAGGTGGTCTCGGTGGCTCTGTGGATAGCTGTTCCCAGGGTATGACGTAAGGTTGGGCTGTGCATTGACCTTGTGGGTACCTACCACCTTATTCCTGGCTAAGTCGGACCGGCTCTTTTCCTTGCCTTCCTGCCTCCCCAGAAATGGATATCCTGGGCTCAAAGCCCCCTCCTCTCTGCCTGGCCCAAGGCTGTGCTGTCCTGTGCCCTGGGCCAGCCTGTCTTCCACACATGGGCAGGACTGGGCCTCAGAGCCTCTCTGCGCTGGGACGGCTCCTCCCTCCACTCACAGATCCCACACCCTCCGTGCCGCCTCCATCCTGTCTCAGCAGCTGGCATGTTTGTTTTGGGTACACCGAGTCCAAGTGTCCCATATTTAGCAGCAGGCACAGTGGCCTCATGGCCTCTGCTTTTCATTCCTATCAGGTGGCAGCTTGGGAAGGAAGCCAGCACCCGCAAGTGAGCCAGTCAACAGCAGCAAGTGGAAATCCACCTTCTCACCCATCTCCGACATAGGCCTGGCCAAGTCTGCTGACAGCCCTCTGCAGGCCAGCTCCACCCTGGGCCAGAACTCCTTGTTCTCATTCCGGCCAGCCTTGGAGGAACCCGCAGCAGCCGATACCAAGCTCGCCACCCACTCAAGGAAAAGCTTTTCTGGGTCACTGTCTGGCACCGATGGGCTCAGTCCTGGCACCAACCCTCCCAACGGCCTGGCCTTCAGTGGGGCCCTGGCCGCGGACCTCAGTTTACATGGCTTCAACGATGGTGCTTCCCTGTCCCACAAGGGCCCTGAGGCAGCCGGCCTGAGCTTTCCCTCGCAGCGGGCCAAGGAGGCTCCCCCGGAGGCCAACCCCTTCTTTAACAAGCGGCAGCTGGAGGGCCTAGGTGGCCTGAAGGGCGAGGGTGGCCCAGGCAAGGAGCCGGGCGAGCCAGGCCTGCCCCTTTGTGGGCCCACGGACAAGGCTGCTCTGCCACATGGCAGTAGGGCTAGCAAGGCCCGGGACCGTGAGCTTGACTTCAAGAATGGCCACAACCTGTTCATCTCTGCTGCCACCGTGCCCCCCGGGGGCCTCCTGGGTGGCCCCAGCCTTGCCCCAGCAGCATCTTCTACAGGCAGTGCGGCCTCAGCAGCCCAGGCACACCGCCCCTTTCTGGGCGCCTTCACCCCCGGGCCACAGTTCACCCTGGGCCCTGTGTCCCTGCAGGCCAACCTGGGTGCAGTGGCTGGCTCTTCCGTGCTACAGTCCCTGTTCAGCTCAGTGCCAGCCGCTGCTGGCCTGGTGCACGTGTCATCCGCCGCAACCCGCCTGACCAACTCGCATGCTATGGGCAGCTTCCCCTCCGGGGTGGCCGGCGGAACCGTTGGAGGTAGGCGAGGCACGTCTTTCTGAGCCCGGCTTCCCCAGGGCAGGGGCTCTGGTTCCCAGCAGGCTGCGCTTCCTCCTAGGAGCGCTGGCTTCGTTACAAGCTGCCTTATGGGTCCTTTCCGAAGGCCAAGCTCCGTGCTACAGACCAGGGCTTGTGTGTGACTGGAGGTGGCCAGCACACACTGGGTTCCCACTGTAACACATCCTTCTTGTTTTCAGAAGACCTCAGTGCACATAGCTAGGGCAGTCCTTTCTCAGGGTGGCTGCCCCAGCCCCGAGGATATCGGGGCGAGCAGTTCTGTCTGGGCACGGGCGGGCAGGTGGGCCCAGAGGGGCAGGGCCCGGCCTGGCCATAGGTAAGTGTCCGCCACCATGCCTGCTGCTTGCCGCTTGTGCCACCTGTGACCTGGAGCTGCGGCTCGCTGCTTCTGCCTCGCTCACAGCTGTGCCTGTGCTTCTCTTGGCTGTGCGCAGACCGTGCCCACCTGTTGAAGCTGAGTTTTCTCTCCCGTTGCAGGTGTCTCTAACCACGCGGTGCCTTCCGCCTCTGCTCGCCCGTTTGGAGCCAGTGTCGGCAGCGGGGCTGTGTGCAGCAGCGCCACGCTGGGCCTGGGCCCACTGCAGGCGGCGGCCAGCACCTCGGCCTCTTCCTTTCAGGCCCCGGCCTCGGCCGAGACGCGGCCGCCCCCTCCACCTCCCCCGCTTCCTCCTCAGCACCTGGGCATCCTCCATGCACCCCCTCCACCTAACGTCACCTTGCCTCCTCCCCCTGCGCTGCTGGCCTCTAACCCTGAGCCCGTGCTTTTGCAGAACCTAGCGTCCATCCCAGCTAACAAAGCTTTTTTACCCCTCTCCTCTGCCGCCTCTCTGCAGCCTGCTAACGCCTCTCTGTCTGTCAAGCTCGCCTCTCTCCCGCACAAGGCCTCCCGCCCCTCCTTCACGGTACACCACCAGCCGTTGTCCCGGCTAGCCCTGGCGCAGGCTGCACCCGCTGTCCCACAGGCCAGCTCCACGGGGCCGTCTGCTGTGTGGGTTTCTCTTGGCATGCCGCCTCCTTATGCCGCGCACCTTTCGGGGGTTAAGCCCCGATAAAGAGCTTGCTTAGCTAGCAGTTCGTATTTTGTAAGGTAAGGCTAGAGCCAAATGAGATGGTTCGCTCTGAAACCAAACCGTCCCTCCCTCTGCACAGAGGAGGGCCTACAGAGGGCCTGGGTCAAGGCTGCTGCACCGTGGTGGCCAGAAGGGTGGGCTAGTTGACCTGAGGTGGAGGGGAGGCTACAGGGCCTGCCAGGAGCTCAGTAAGAGAGTATCAGGACCCTAGCTGCCCAGTCCTCATGGTCATGGGCTTGCGAAGCTCCCACCTACAGACCAGGAGAGCCCTTGGGAGTGGGGCAGGTGCGGTAGGTGCTGTGGGCAGAGGCCCAGAGGGTCAGGGGCAATGCACTCCTGGCTCTTCCCACTAGCCTGGGAAAGGAGGCTCCTGGAGGTGGCAGGCGCAGCCCTGGAGAGGCTGCTACATTCTGCCAGCAGTTGCTGAGTCGCCCCATGGGGTATTAAGAAAGTCCAAGGCTGGCTGGGGATTTAGCTCAGTGGTTTGGCCTCCTGCCTCAAAAGCGCAAGGACCCGAGTTTGATCCCCAATACCAAAAAAAAAAAAGTCCCAAGGCCCATGAGGCCCAGGCTCACAGCAGGCTCCAGAATGGGGTGGCCTTTCTTCTCTAGATGAAGCACTTGAGGGTGCCTAGGTGAGCTCTGCGCCCTGGACAGCCAGGGCCAGGCTGTGTGTGTGGGGAGGTGGATGCTGGCCACCCACAGGAAGGCTGCGGCTGCCCTCAGCTCAGAGCCTGCCAGGTAGTGGAAGTGGAGGAAAGAGTCTTTGGGTGGGGCCGGGGATTTAGCTGAGTGGTTCTGCTGCCTGTCTCGCAAGCACAAGGACCCGAGTTTGATCCCGGTACCAAAGAAAAAAAAGTCTGGGTGGCCTCATGGCCCGGAGGAGGTCCTCCCTATGCATAAAGGGCTGGGCCCTGGGCCTGTAAGCCATGCATGTGATCCACGCCTGTCATCCTAGCATGCTGGGAGGCTGAGGACAGGATTGTAAGTGGGAACCCAGCCCGGGCAACCTAGCAAGACCATCACAAAATAAAGTACCTGGTGGGGCCAGGGATTTGGCTCAGTGGCACCACGCCTGCCTCAAAAGCGTAAGGTCCTCAGTTTGATCTCTGGTATCAAAAAAGCAAAAAAAAAAAAAAAATGGCTGGGGATGTAGCTCAGTTCCAAGACCCTGGCTTGCTTCCCAGGTACTGCAAAACAAAACAACCCCAAGGCAGCAAGCCCCACCTATCACCCAAGGAGGCTGGTGTTTGTGGCAAGGATGTGCCGCTGGGTGAGGAGTTGAGGGGTGTCCACCAGGGCTGACGTTCTGCCCTGCCTTCGAATGTGGAAGCAGGCCAACTATGGAATGGTGACACCTTCCTGGTGACAGTGTTGGTCCCCCAGGGCTGGGGGGCCGGCTGAGCTCTGTCCTTAGAAGTGCTAGACCTAGAGTGGGTGCACCCCGACCCTGCGTCCCTGTGGCATATGACGGAGTTAGAGGAAGCCCAGGGTTTGCTTTGGCATTAGTGGGTTGCCCAGCACCCTGTGTTTGCCCACAGGAGCACCTGCCTCTGGCCTTCTTGGCTGGCAGAGGGAGGTGGCTCTACAGTGGGTCTGCTCACAGGAGGCCTCTGTCCCGGCCCCCCGGGCTGTGCTGGGCTCCCCCATGTGTGCTGCTAACAGGCTCTCGCCACTGTTCCCACAGGTAACTAGGATTTCTACCTCACCCGCGCGACCTATGCAAGGGCGGTGTGGACCAAGCATCTGCTGTTTGGTGCTCAAGCTGCCAGGCTCCCGCCCCAGACGGAAGGACAGATGGACAGCAGAGGCGGGCAGGATGAGGAGCTCCACTGTGAATCAGCAGCACACCGCAGGAGGTGCTGGGACTGGTCCAGTCTGTACTGTCAATAGTTTTAGATAAAGTATTTATCATTTTTTAAAAAGTATAAACAATTCTGACTTATTTTATTCCATCTGAGTTGTCAGAGGCAACCTATTGAGAAGTATAAATGTCTATGTAAGAGAGAACCTTATATATAAAGACTCGGGCCGCAGGGCAGCCCTGCCAAGACACCCGCCACCGCAAACCCGGTGCTACGGCCACCAGGCCCGCGCCTGCCTCTGCCTCTTGGTGCCGCCCTGGACACTGACCAATGCCAAAGCCGGTCCTCGGACACCTGCCATGCCCAGCCAAAGGCACCAGCCCTGGCCAAGGCTGTCAGAAAGTCCATCGGAAAAGGCCCTGTTCCTGGCGGCCAGCACTCCACTCCTCTGGAGCCACCGCCCTGCCAGAGATGGACCCAACTGTGAACCGCTAACAGAGGGTCCTGACTGTGGCATATGGCCAGCCGGGCTCACAGGAGCTGGCTCGCAGGGCCTTTCTTTTTGATGGAGTGCTCAGCAGGCCAGCAGCGGTGGGAAGGGGCCTGTGTGACATAAAGCTCTTCTGAGTGGTGCTTCACCGCGGTGGCACATGTGACAAGTGCAGTTACTTTTGTATTCCATTGGTTTTTGGCTGGAGCAGGCTGGCTGGGTGATGTGGGGCAGGCCTGCTGCCGGCCCCAGTGTTTATGTATAGGAGAGAGTCACACTCATGTGTGATGGTATTTTATAGAGATGGCGATGAAAATTTATAAATTTCATAGACTTGACTGCATTTATTTTTAGATTGTATAATGCACAGTGAGCTTAAAAAGAAAGAAAAGCAAGGGGAATAGAAACTTTATTTATTCAAATGCACAAAAATGGCACTGGCCCCAGGGCTGGCCCTCACCCCACACCTTGCAGGAGTGCATGCCCCCATACCTGCAGCCAGGGTCCTGCCTGTCACTGTGTCCTCGAAGGTTCCCTTGGCTGCTGTGAGTGGTCCTGGTGTCTGCCCCACCCCAACAGCCTTGGAGTGCTGGCATGCGTGTGCTGGCCCTGGCTGTGGCCTCAGCCAGGGCTTGGGCTGTCCTGCTGCTTCCATGTGGGAGGCCTTAGTATTGGGTTTCCGGTTGACCCAGCCTTGCCAGCCTGTGTCTGGACCCCTACTCCTCTCCACCTAGCAGTGAGTTCTCAAGATGGTGCTGGGGACTCCTCCCCCCACGTTGGTGCTCTCAGCCTGGCCTCTAGGTGCTGCGCCTCATTCCCACGGACCCTGCCCCAGGACTCAGCACGGGGCAGCGCCCTGCTTGGCATTGGGGGGCAGGGGTCATCTCTCACCACACAGCGCCCTAGGTGACAGTAGCAAAGTCAGCAGGCAGCAAGTCCCTGCTCTCGGATCATGTTCTCTAAACAAACACTGTATGCTTCTGCTGGCCAGCGTAACGGCCGGCGCCAGCTCGAGACAGCCCTGCCCCATGAACATATCTACATGTATACTTGAGTGTTGGGAGACTAAATACCCTATGTGGGGAACACACCCACAGTGTAGCCACTGCTGGGTTTTGGTGCATCTAGCATGGGCACAAGTCGCCTCTTGAGCCCACAGGGATGGACGTGTGCCCCTGCAGTAAGCTAACCATGTGCAGGGCGCCTCCCCTTCTCTGAACCCTGGGGCTGAGCTGCACTGGTTCTCACCCAGACCTGCTGAGCCATGTCACCAAGAGGTGGGCAGGACAGCGGCACAAGGCCATCCTGGAGTCTGGTGCTGGCAGTGGCTCCACTGTCCTGGGCCGACCCAGCTTGGGGACTGGTGCTGCCCTGGCCCTCGGGCAACTCCTGGGAAGCTGCCATACAGCTCTTGCTCAGGAATTGGTCAGGAAACCTTCAGGACCAGACAATCCACCCTCTTGGGACCTTGCTGACCCACTGGTCACCAGGAACCAGGCTTCCCATCCTTTATGTGAGCCCCGTGAATGTCTACTTATTTAAGACTTACCCATCCCCTATTTATCCACCCACAGAATTCATGGCCTTGCTTCCTCCTCATGGTGAAATGGTCCATCCACACACAGCTCGCCTCACACCCCATTATCTGCCCCTTGCTGGCTTTGCTTTGTGTCTGTAGTGAACTCTGTACCCCTCCCCAGGGCGCCCACTGCACTGTTCCCACCCGTCGGCGCTGTAATAAAAGCAGTTTTCACTTGGACCTGGTCTCAATGCAGCCTTTTTTCCTGACAGCACTGCGATTTGTGTCCTTCCTAGAGCGGGAACCCTTATCCCCAGGTTGGAGGGAGTCCCACCAGCTGCTCTGCAGCAAGGGAAAGACCCGTGCCCCAACTTCTCAAACCCAGCTGATGCAGGGTCCTGGGGCACCCAAGATTCCCCTCCATTCTGCCTTGGTGGGGACCACTCTCCCTAGGAAAGGGCTCCAGCTGCTAGGGCCCCTGTCTTCTCCATCCACTTCGCCATCATCCAGTTTAGAAAAAGAGGTACCTTTATTGAACAGAGTGAGTGCGGTGACTCAGGACCAGAGCCACCCCATCCCTCATCAGCAACAGTGGAGTTCATAGCTGGCAGAGGGAGACCCTCACCATTCACAGCTTCCCTTAGCTTCGTACATTCAGCTGGCACAGGACAGGAAGGCCTTGCCAGTCAGGTGCCCACCCAGCCCTCAGTGGGGACATGGCAGGGAGAGGCCGGGCACTTGGCCTAGCAGCACAGTGTGGCAACCCTCTGGTGGGTCCCGAGGCACAGGGAAGGGGCACTTGGTGGGTTTCTCCAAAAATGCAGCCCCTGCCCACCCCCACCCACCCTCAGGCTTTGAGCCCAAACACCCCCCAGGGCAGGCCTGGCATAGGGTTAGTCCAACTCGTCCAGCTGAGTGCCGACACAAGCTGCCCGCCTGTCCCTTGGCAAGCTGCTCAGCTGGAACCTGGCCTCCTCAGATATGCCAAACTGCTCCAGGGGATCCTATACAAGGGGACAGGTTGGGGTGGCCATGAGCCAGGGGCCGAGAAGCACAACCCTGCCACCTCCGACCCTGCACACACCTTGCCTGTCATCTTCTGGATCTCATTCCTGTAGAAGATGAGACTGCACCGCATGTACTCATAGCTGAGAGAGAGGGCAGCACCTAATTGGTCATATTCCAAATACCCACCCTACATGGCCGCTGTGCCCAGGGTCTCCCAGGTGTCCCCAAGCCCCACCTGGCCCGACGAAGAGCCTCCATCCACTCCTGACACTGCTCCTGGGTGCAGCATTCAAAGTAATACTTCCTCTCTGGGTCCTCGATGAAGCCTGCAGAGGGAATGAGGGAGCCACATCTGGTCGGTGTTCACTTGCTCCACTTCCTCTTGCTAGGGCCCCAAACTGGCCCCCTGCCCCCGTGGCCCCATCATGGTTTCACTGCATTCTGTCTGTCCTGAGCTAAACTGCATCTCCCCAAGAGACAGATTCAAGTCCTGGCCTCCCCCTGCAACCTGTGAATGTCTCCTGTTTGGAACAGGGTCTTTGTGAAGGCCCTGGGTCCAATGCCCAGTACTGGTGGGGGAAAAAATCAAAACAAAACCCTAAATACAGTAACTGGTGTTTTCATAAAGATGAAATGCAGTGTGATGATGCTGGCAGAAGCCAAAGCTCCAACAAGGCCATCTGGCCTGGGACCAGTGTTGACAGCCTAAGAAGGGACCACCCCTGCCCAGATCTCAGACTTCTTCCCCCAGAACTGTACAGAAACTGCTCCTGGTATATATCACCAAGTCTGCGGCACTGTAATGACAGCCCCAAGAGACAGAGAGGATCCATCTTCCCCTGCAGACCTGAATCTCTTAAAGATGACAGGTGACCGGCAGGTCCATCCCTCTCTCCTGGGTATCCAGCATCTCGCTAACAGGGAGGGGAGAAACAGCCAAAAAACAAGGTCCCGCTGGCGTTTTGGGCGGCAGCTGCAGCAGCAGCTGGGCGGGGCTGGCCGTGCGCCCGCGCAGGAGGAAAGAATCCAGGGCAGGACGGGGAGGCGTGGGCAGGAGCCCAGCCAGAGGTGGCGTGGCAGGTGCGCCGGACGGGCGGCCAGGACCTGACCTTGGGCCGCCCGAGGACCATCAAAGAGATTCTTGTGTCCAGGGAGGAAGCAGCCTGGCCGGGATGGCGGGGACGGCGGGAGCCACTCACTGATGGAGAAGCCTCCGGGCTCTTCCTGCGAGACTCTGCAGCGCTCCAGAAGCAGGGCTCCGAGGGGCTGCGCGAGACACGGCTGTGAGCACTGGCCGCCAGGCCGCGCGGGACCCCCACGGCTCCCATCCCCCCTACCTCAGCCTCGTCGGTGCGGAAGTAGAACAGGAAGTTGACCACCAGCTTCACCAGCCGCCGCTTGGCCACTGCGGGCACAGGGCGGGGCTCAGCGCGGCCGGGGGACCTCCGCCCTCACCCCGTACCGTCCAGACCCAGTCCCCGGGACGAAACCGCTCACCGCTGCCTTTTTTGGGTCCTCGCATGCTCAACTCGGCAGCCATCTCGGCCGGCTGCTGGGACAGGGCCCGCAGCTCCTTCTCGTTGTACCGCATAGTAGCAGCCGCGGGGATCCGCGAAAGAGAACGCGGAATGGTTCGCCGCGCCCTCCTTCCCGGCTACCGTCCCGGATTCCGCCGCAGACCGCGCCACAAAGGTCTCAGGGCACCAATCCGGAAGCACCGCCAGAGCTATTGCGCCTGAGCGTTGTTGGTCGGCCATTCCAACGTTCCACCGCTGGGTGGCGAGAGCGTGCGGGGGCGGCGCGGGACAGTAATAGAGGACCCTGAGAGTCTGTATAAAACCATGAAATACACTGAATTTGGAGTGGGACTGACTCACAGCACCCACACAGCCGACAGACCTCTGGTTGTTTCTACCCGCCCTCAGTTTCCTGGGCCCTTCCCTGTATAGACAGGCGCAGTTGGGGGAGAGGTAACTTGTTAAAGAGGCTCAGCCCGCCCTCTCGCGAGAGCTAACTCCGCGCGATTTAACTGAGATTTAGTTGAGAGGGTTGTGCGCACGCGCACCTCCGCGTCTAGCCCGCGCTTTCGTCTAGATCCCTTTTCTCTCTAGCCGCCCGAACATCCATCCGGGCTACTGGGCGGTTGGGCGTGCGCACACGTGAGACCCTGCCCCGTTGCCCCCGGAAGTAGTTCCTTAGCCCTAAACGCGCGTACCCACAGCAAAGTCGTGGCGGTTGTCTCGGCTGCTCGGCCTCCGTCCTAGGTGAGAAGTTTTATGGGCAGAAGGAAGCGGCCCTGGGACTTACTGGGGAAGGGCGGGCGTGAGATCAAGGCGCGTGTGGTGGGCCTTTGCGGGCGGGCGGCGCACCCCGGAACTCCTTCTCTGAAGGCCCGTCAGAGTCGTGGCTGCTTTGTCCCTCAGGCCCTCTTTGAAAACTGTGCTACTTATCTGGCTTTGAGTCTTGGAGGATCATTTAACTCCCTGTGATTGCCTCGGTCCTTTACCTGTAGATCCGGGGCTCCCGCGTCCGCCCCGCGCCGAAGGCGACCCTACCCCTTTAGGTGATGCGGCCCCGCTTTGCAAGTGCATCCCGGGCATTGCAGAACAGAACAGCCAGAAGGACCTTTGGAAAATAGGTGGTTGGTTTTTTTTGGTACCGGAGATTGAACTCGGGACCTTGCACTTGCAAGGCAGGCGCTGAAACAAAAAATAGGTTGCTTCCTGAGAGGCTGAGGCAGGACGATCGCGAGTTCGAGCCCAGCGTGGGGAACCTAGTGAAACTCTGTCTCGAAATAAAACGCCGGTTCCGCCGCCTGCCTCGAAAGCGCAAGGACCCGAGTTCGATCCCCGGTACCAAAAATAAATAAAATAAAATAAAATAAACAAAAGGGCTGGGGATGTAGCTCAGCTCGAAGGTTCACAGTTTGGTCCCCCGTTGCCAAGAAAAAAAGAAGAAAAAAAAAATCCCGGATCTAGGCCGCAGTCCAGAGGCCACCTACTCCTCGATTCTTGAAAACTGTTCCCCTGGTCTTTACTTTACAAACACCCACACACACTCCTTTTTTGTGGTGGTACTGGGGATTGAACCCCAGGCCTTCACACTGAGCTACACCCTCAGCTCTTTTTACTTTGAGACAGGGTCTCACCAAGTTGACCGGGTTGGTCTCAAATTTGCCTGGGATGACAGGTGTGCACCATCATGCCAGGATTATAACTTGTGTTTCTAGATGTATCCATTTTCAGGTGTCATCTGCTGATTTCCTATTATGGTAGGTGAAGTCTCCTGTCATTCACCCTCCCTTCAAGTCCATCACATCCTCTGTTGGGTTTTCTAAGGTTGAAAATACTGTTCAGTGGTAAAACAATGTGTTGAACTAGGTTGCTTCTCTTTCTCTGTTTTGTTTGTTGTTGTTTTGGTTTGTTTTTTTGGTTTGTTTTGTTTTTGAGACAGTCTCGCTTTGTAGTGGAGGCTGGCCCTGAGCTCACTGTGTAATCCAGGCTAGCCTTGAACTCATGGCGATCCTCCTGCCTCAGCCTCCTGAGTGCTGGGACTATAGACATGTGCCACCACATCTGGTTTCAGGCACTTTTCTGATGCCATACTGTTTCCTCCAAAATCACTTAACTTCATTTTTATCATCAGTTGTGTTTTCTTCATATCTTTGATTGTTTTTCCCTAAACCTCAACATCTCATGTGCTCATTGTTTGTGTCTTCCCCAGATTTAAACAAATTGATTTCCCATTCTCCTACTCTGCTTGGATTGGCTGCTGTCCATCCCTGCAGAGCAGAGCCACTGTGGAAACTTGGAGCCCCTGCTCTCCCGAGTAGCTGTCTGTGGATGGCCTGTTTACCCACACACGTAGCATTTTGGTTGGGTATAAAATGGAGGCTCCATGGCAGAATCTGTGTCCTGCATTTTTGCAGTTCCGACAGGTGCACTCGTCCCTCAGCTTTCAGGCCCTTCCTGCCTCTTTGGAGCCAGCCACACAGCATCTTCCAGTCAGTCTCTTTCTCTCCCCCTCTTTCTCTGATCCTCCTGCCACCCCTTTGTGAGATCCTGTAATGACACTGGCCCTGGCTGATCCAGGATGTTCCCCCCACCCTCCCAAGCTCTGTGATCCCATTTGTGAAGTCCATTCTGCTGTATAAAATGATACCATAGGTTTGGGAAGGAGGATGGGGATGTTCTAGGGGAGTATAACTTGATAGTCTTTCTGGGCTTTGTCTCTGAGCTCATCCTGGATTTAAAGCCAAGGCCTGGGGCAGACATTGGAGACTTCAGGTACCAGTGTTGGGTGATCAGAGAAAGCCACCTGGAGCTTAGGTTTGACAGAGCCTGATAGAATATAGGAAGAAAAAAAAAAAAAGAATATAGGAAGAGAGTCGAAGGGTGGTCTGCAGGGGTGTGGAAGAGGCTCTTAGGACTCTTCCTTGGCTATAAACAGCTGCTGAGACCTGTGTGTTAGGCAGCAGGGTCCACAGCTAGATATCTTCCTGGCCCCTGGCAAGCTTGTAGCAAGCCACTGAAATGGAGTTAGTTTGTGATTAGTGGATATTAGCCAGTGGGAAAGGAAACTCAGGAAAGAGTAAAGTGGGGGCTTGGTCAGTCTGGGAAGGTTCCCTGGAGGTGGTGAGGCTTAAGGCTGGCCTCATCTTCTCTGACTGGCTTCTGCCGGAAACCCCATTGCCGTTTCCAGTCCCAGCCTCAGTGCTCTGTGGGTTGGAGTGACTTCCTCCTTGCCACTGCCATGGTCACTGGGAAGTGTCCAGATAACCCCTCAGCCCCACATCGGAGCCTCTGAACTCAGCTCACTGTCCTTGTTACTGCCTGGCCACAGTGTGCCACAGTGGCAGGCAGCAGCCATGATCTCCAGAGCTGTCCCTGTCCCATTCGCCTTTGCAGTTTCTGCCCTGGTCACACTGTGAAGCCCTTCGGCCTTCACCATGGACTTCCAACACCGCCCCGGGGGCAAGACGGGCAGTGGAGGTGTGGCCTCTTCCTCCGAGAGCAACAGGGACCGCAGGGAGCGCCTCCGGCAGCTAGCACTGGAAACCATCGACATCAATAAGGTGGGCACCGCCTGTGGCACCAGGTGGGCTGTCCCCAAAGAGGGCCGTTATTGGGCTCTTCCCATTGTCACTGGGCTGTCATCATTATTCCCCCACCATGTGGGCCACAAAGGCTCCCACACAGGTGTTTGCCTGGGCAGGGGACAGCAGCTCCCAGCCTTCCCAGCCTCGGGCCCTGACCACAGGGCAGTGATTTTCCAGTCTGATCTGTTCCCTCCCAGGACCCATATTTCATGAAAAACCACCTGGGATCCTACGAGTGCAAGCTCTGCCTGACCCTTCACAACAACGAGGTGCGTTGAAGCTGTCTTGTGGAACTGGCCCTGCCACACCCCAGCCCCACACCTGACCTCTTGGGGGCCTTTTCACTGTCACTTGAGAGGACAGAGCAGGTCTGCCTGGGACCCTCTGCTCAGAACTGGCGGCCCATTTCCTTCAGGGCATCTTTCTGTGAAAGATGTCAAGGGGTGCGGGAGCAGGCCAAGTCCCTCCCGTCTTCACCTGTGTCTCACCCCCTCAGCACCTGGAGTTCTCTCTGGTGGACTTCCGGGGGGACTTTCCAGTCCTTTATTGGTGCTGTCACCACTTATGTATGTTTCTAAGCGTAGGAGTGCAGCCAGCAACACCTGCACCCTCTGGGCGGGCCTTTTCTTTTTTTGGTACCGGGGATCAAACTTGGGACCTTGCGCTTTCGAGGCAGGTGCCAGAACCACTGAGCTAAATTCCCGGCCATGAGCGGGCCTTTTCTCTGCCTCTCAGAGGTCAGGGAGGCGGGTGTGGCTCCCAGTGCTGCTTGGGGCTGTGAGATTGGCCACATGACAGCCCTGGGCGTCACCACCGGCCATTGGCATGCCAGACTCAGGGATCTGTATGAGTCGGCCTAGTTGGTCCTGGAGGGTGTCCTATCTGCTCCGTCTTGCCCTGAAGCTATCGGTCCTGTGCACACTAGGGTTGCTTCATGCTCAGTGAGGCGTCCTGGGCACTGCAGGGTGCCTAGCAGTGTCCCTGGCTTCTACCCACTCCACACCAAGTGTGGGTCAGAGGGTGTGTTTGTTGGCAGTGTTACCAGATGTGGCCGCACATCTGTCCCACACATGCAGAAACCCAGAGCTTGATGAGTCACCTCGCCCCGGGAACTACCCTGACCTGGCCCTCCAATCCCGGTGTGGACCAGCGGGGCATGTTTGTCCCATCCCAGCTTCGGGGAGGGGCTGTGGGGTGCTCCCTGATCCCTCACGGCACTTCTTTCCCTCCCCAGGGGAGCTACCTGGCACATACTCAGGGGAAGAAGCACCAGACCAACCTGTGAGTGTCAGCTTCCCTCATGGCCACCAGCATTCATCCACCTGCCCTGCTGGTGTTCAGGGGAGGGACCCTGGCTTGGCAGTGGCCCGGAGCCAGCCTGGGCTGTGACTAGGGGGTGCTTCAGGGGGCCCTTATGTCTGCTGCCCCTGTTCTGCTTCCTTCCAACCCCCTAGGCCCCCTCCGCCTGTTCCTCACCTCACAGATGAGCTCCAAGGTCAGGCTGGGCTCCAGCACCTGGGCCTGTGGCCTTGGTGTCCTGTGGGGAAGGCCACAGCACCCCATCTGTCCTTCCCACAGAGCCCGGCGAGCGGCCAAGGAGGCCAAGGAGGCCCCTGCCCAGCCAGCGCCCGAGAAGGTCAAGGTGGAGGTGAAGAAGTTTGTGAAGATTGGCCGCCCTGGCTACAAAGGTGTGTGCGGGTATCTCCTGCCACTCCCACGCAAATGAGCCTTGGTGGGTGGGCCACTCTGGCCTTAAGTGCAGGCCCCTCTCACCCTCATCCACCACCACTGTCACCAGGGGTGGTCACATCCCTGTCACCAGCAGCCCCTTTCCTGTCCAGTGAGACCCACCCCCCTCTGCCCACCTGCCACCCCCACTTCAGCCATCTATGGGGCCACCAGTGCCCCCCTCACTGGCCTAGGGACCTCTCCACATCCCACTCTCCCATTCCGTGGGTGGCATTAGACTATGCCAGGGCCCCTGGGCTTCAGGGAAGACGAGTCTCTGGGCCTGACCCCGTGTGTTGCAGTGACCAAGCAGAGGGACACAGAGATGGGCCAGCAGAGTCTCTTGTTCCAGGTGAGATGGGGCTTGAGTCTTGGGTGTGTAGGGAGGCTCAGGGCACCCCCTGAGTGGCTTTGTCCCCCCAGATTGACTACCCTGAGATCGCCGAGGGCATCATGCCCCGCCACCGCTTCATGTCTGCCTATGAGCAGAGGATTGAGCCCCCGGACCGGCGTTGGCAGTACCTGCTGATGGCCGCTGAGCCCTACGAGACCATCGCCTTCAAGGTAGTGTGGCCACCCACCCCTGGCCGGAGACGGAGGCTAGGAGTCTGTGTGGGCTGCTTGGACAGCTGCTGCCCGCTGTAGGCTGCTTGTCCCCGCCAGGTCTCGGCCCTGGCCTGTGGGGGGTGCTGGTGTGGGCCCAGATCTGTGAGACCATATCACCTTACCCCAGGGGCCAGGCCAGGATGGGTGACTGCTGTGCCCTGTGCCCAGACACAGCAGCAACAAAGTAAATAATGTGAACTGTCTCCCGCCCAAACTAGTTAAGTAACGGAGCTGGGATTAAATTCCATCTGTTCTGCCCCCAAATCGAGCCCACAGCCCACAGAAAAGCCTTTTGAGGCCAAGTGGCACAACTACTCAGGAGGCTGAGGCAAGAGGATCACCGTGAGTTCGAGGCCAGCTTGAACACAGACCGTGTCTGGAAAAAACCTGAAAAATTAGTAAAATAAAATCCTAGAAAAGGGTAGGAGATGCAGCACAGTGGTGAGCCTCTGCCTAGCATGCAGGAGGCCCTGGCTTCTACCCCAGTCCTGTAAAAGCATAGGGTTCCCCAGAGCTCCTGGGGGGGCGGGGGCGGCAGCATGAGGAGCAGGTGCCCCAACTGCCCAAGCTCTTGTCTGAACGGGAGCCTCCAGCCTTGGCCGCTGTGGTCTGGAAAGCTGTGGGGACCAGGAGCCCTGTCACTCTCCCCCTCCCACCAGGTGCCCAGCAGAGAGATTGACAAGGCTGAAGGGAAGTTCTGGACTCACTGGAACCGGGAAACCAAGCAGGTGGGCGCCAGGCCTGGGCAGTTGGGATTCACAGCCCTCGGGACCCCTGCCTGCTGAGCCTTTCCCCTCCCTTCTAGTTCTTCCTCCAGTTCCACTTCAAGATGGAGAAGCCCCCGGCTCCGCCCAGCCTTCCTGCAGGGCCCCCTGGGGTGAAGCGCCCCCCACCCCCACTGATGAACGGGCTGCCCCCCAGGCCACCGCTGCCAGAGTCTCTGCCCCCGCCCCCTCCAGGAGGCCTGCCGCTGCCCCCCATGCCCCCTGCTGGGCCTGCACCCTCAGGGCCCCCCGGGCCTCCCCAGCTGCCCCCGCCAGCTCCTGGGGTTCACCCCTCTGCACCAGTGGTCCACCCCCCCGCGGCTGGGGTCCACCCGCCTGCCCCAGGGGTCCACCCTCCGGCTCCAGGGGTCCACCCTCCAGCACCTGTGGTCCACCCCCCCACATCCGGGGTCCACCCTCCTGCCCCAGGGGTCCACCCTCCTGCCCCTGGGGTTCACCCACCGGCCCCAGGGGTGCACCCTCCCCCAACAGCCGGGGTCCACCCACAGGCTCCAGGAGTGCACCCACCTGCTCCTGCAGTTCACCCCCAGGCCCCCGGCGTGCACCCTCCAGCCCCCGGGATTCACCCACAGGCTCCCGGAGTCCACCCTCAGCCTCCTGGGGTCCATCCTGCAGCTCCAGGGGTACACCCCCAGCCTCCTGGAGTTCACCCCTCCAATCCCGGGGTGCATCCCCCAACTCCCATGCCTCCAATGCTGAGGCCCCCGCTCCCCTCCGAGGGCCCTGGGAGCATTCCTCCCCCTCCCCCAACCAACTGAGGAGCCTCTGCCCTCCCTGTTCTGTGTCTGGCCGCATGTTTTTCTGTATTTTCCCAGAGAGAAGGCCTGAGCTTTTGTACTGTCCCCAGAGCCCATTAAACAGCCTCCCCCGTGTCTCATGGATTGCTGTGGCGGCTCCGACCACCGGCAGGCGAGGGGGTGGCTGCTTGCTTTGTGAGGACCCAGTGGCAGGGCCCCATAGCACATCTTTGCTCGTGCCCGTGTGCACACACACATACGCAGAGGGAGGAGTGAGGTCTCTGCACCTGGGTGTCCCGCTGTGGTGCCTTAGCTGGGGCCCCAGAAGTGGGTAAGGACATTGGGTGTGGTGGTACAGATTTGTAATCCCAGTGCTCGGGAGGGTGAGGCAGGAGGATGCCAGGAGTTCAATGCCAGCCTGGCCTACATACTCCAAGGCTAGTCTGAACTACGTAGTGAGACCCTGTCTCAAAAAAAAAAAGTGGTGGGTTGGGGATTTAGCTCAGTGGTTCCGCCGCCTGCCTCAAAAGCGCAAGGTCCAGAGTTCGATCCTTGGTACAAAAAGGTGAGTGGCAGGGTCCTGGGGAGTCTCGGCAACATAGGGACCACTACCACCCCCATGCCCATTGGTCCTCAGGGCCAGGGGCTCTGCGCTCTGTGGGCTTTGTGCTGCCCCAGGGCTGTTTACAGTCCCAGTAGACACCCTCAAGGACAGCTTTGTGACTGGCACAGTCAGGCTGAACTCTATCTGGTGAGAGCAAAGATAGGAGGCCAGGGTGAGACACAAAGCCCTTTGAGAAAGCCACCTCCCACCTGCCCAGGCCCCTAGTGGGGCACTGGGCCTTGTCCCCAAGGTCACCTCCACAGCAGATAGAGGCCTCCCTCCCCCAAACCTTCCACCCTGGCCATATAAGCCTGAGCCAGCTACCCAGCCCCGGCACACCCACCATGCAGAGCCCACCTCTCACCCAGCTGCCCCTGGTGCTGCTGGCCCTGGGGGCCGTGTTGGGGGCTGAGACCCCTGGAGAAGAGCAGGTTGCTGGCACTGGGGGCATTATTTTCCCTGAAGACTGGGTCTGGTCACCAGGTAGCCCACAAGACCCTGTGTGCTTGGTGACACTGAGCAGTGCCAGCAACGGGAGCAGGGCCCCTCTGCAGGTGGTGGGGACCCTGAGTAGCTACGAGAGGGCCTTCTTGGAGGCTGTGCAAGGCACTCGCTGGAGACCCCACGACCTGGCCACCTTCGGGGTCTGCAGCCCTGGCCACACCCAGGCTATTCTGCCTGCTCTGCAGCACCTAGGGGACTGGCTTCGGGAGCCTGGGGGGCAGCGGCTGCTGGTCCTGCACCTGGCGGAAGGTACATGGGGACCCTGGGGCCTAAGCGCAGCACCTCTCATGTAAGGGTGGCAGAGTCCCCTCTGCAGTGGAATGCTGTGCCTTCTGTCTCCATCATGCCTGGGAGTGGGGATCAGGTGAGAGGCTTCCAGGTGGCCCCCTTCCTGCCCAGGAGGAAGCCACAGGGAAGGACCCTCCCCAGGGGGTGGTCCCCTACATCTTTCGGGCAAGGTCACCATCCACCCCTGGAAGGCAGCAGGGAGAGGGGCCACTGTTGCTCCGGAGAGGTCTGCACCTGCCATCCTGGGAGCAGGGCCAAGTCCCTTCAGACCTCTATGGCCCGTCCATTCAGGTTCTCTACTGGGAAGGGGCTCCTTATAGGTCAGACTTGGGGACAGCCCAGCCTCTGGCTCAGCAGTCCCCCTCTCCTGGCTGCAGTGACATGGGACCCAACACCTTTGCTGAGGTTCCAGGAGCCCCCACCTGGAGCAGCCATCCCCCAAGAGCAGGCACTGCTGGTGCTGTACCCTGGGCCTGGCCCGGAAGTCACTGTCACTGGGGCTGGGCTGCCAGCTGCCCAGGTACCTGAAAACACCTGCATGGGGCTCCGGGGCTGTATGGGAAGGGGCTCCAAGGGTCACGTGGAGAACTGTGCCAGCACTGGGCGGAAAGAAAAGATGTGCAGGGCCAGGCTGGGCGGGGCAGTGTTCCCACTGGGCTGAGCCCCCATCTCCGCAGAGACTCTGCCCGACCCCGGATACTCGATATCTGGCTCTGGCTGTGGACCACCCGGAGGGGGCCTGGCACGGCCCAGGGCTTTCCCTGACCTTGCAGCCCTGCGGAGACGGTAGGACTGGGCCGAGGCATAGGGGGAGGGAGGAACCAGGGGCCAGGCAGCTACCCTGGGCCCCCAGCCCTTGAGCCAGCCCACACCCCTCTCCGGGCGCAGGTGCCACCCTGAGCACAAGCCAGCTGCAGACCCTGATGTTTGGGCCCGACCCCCGCTGCTTCACGCGGATGACCCCTGTCCTACTCCTGCTACCACGATCTGGGCCTGCGCCTCTGCCCGCACGTGGCCAGCTGGACACGGTGCCCTTCTCACCGCCCAGGTGTGCGCAGGCCCAGAACAGCGGCCCAGAGGAGGTGGGGGCGGCGCAACCCGACACCCTGGTGACACTCAGCTCCCACTGTGGATTCCAGGCCTTCCCTGGAGCCCCAGGAGCTGCCGCCCAGCACCGATCCTTTCCTGGGGACGCTCACGCGCCTAGTGCGCGTGCTGCGGGGGCCCCAGGTCCGGGTCTCTCCTATGCGACTGGCCCTGGACCCCGGGGCGCTGGCCAGCTTCCCGCAGGGCCTGGTCAATCTGTCCGACCCTGCGGCGCTGGAACGTCTGTTAGACAGCGACGAGCCTTTTCTGCTACTGACACCACCCGCTGTGTCCAGTGCCGGATACCCGGCGTCACTGCGGGGCCCCGAGTCCGCACCCTGGGCCCAGGGCTTGGCGCACCGCGTGGCCGTCGAGCTGCAAGCCGTGGCCGCTGAGTTGCGAGGCCTCCCGGGGCTACCGGCCGCCACGCTCCCGCTGCTTGCGCGCCTGCTTGCGCTGTGCCCGGGTGACCATGGCGACGCTGGCAAGCCCCCTGCTGACCCGCTGCGCGCCCTGCTGCTTCTCAAGGCGCTGCAGGGCCTGCGTGCTGAGTGGCGCGGTCGGGGCGGGCGCGGGGCAGCTCGGGCTCAGCGCAGCACCTCCTCGGAGGGGCCGTGCGCTCTACGCGAGCTCAGCGTGGACCTGCGCGCTGAGCGCTCTGTGCTCATCCCCGAGACCTACCAGGCCAACAACTGCCAGGGCACATGTGGCTGGCCGCAGTCCGACCGCAACCCGCACTATGGCAACCACGTGGTGCTGCTGTTGAAGATGCAGGCTCGCGGGGCTATCCTGGCACGCCCGCCCTGCTGTGTGCCCACGGCCTACGCGGGCAAGCTCCTCATCAGCCTGTCGGAGGAGCGCATCAGCGCACACCACGTTCCCAACATGGTGGCCACCGAGTGCGGCTGCCGGTGACCCTCGTCGCCTAAGAGTCCTTCCCGTATTTATTCAGACCCAAACACCACCCCAATAAAGACCAGAAGCACCCAGCTGGGTAACCGTGCGTAGATGCTTTCTTGTCGTGTGCACAAGGCCTGCGTCACCCCCGTGGGTGCTTTCCACCCCCATCCTTCAGGCCCCGGTCGAGGCACAAAGGAGCAGGTGACTCCCAGCCTCAGCACTCGCTTTATTTTGCTGGAGCCCTGGGGCCACGATGGAGATTGTAGATGGGTCCTGGGTCCCGGGATTCTCGAGCAGCACCAGGCACAGCTCAGTCCCGCCCTTTGCCCAGTTGGTGCTTCTGTCTGCCCCGGGGCCTGTCCTCTTCGGAGTGCCTCGGGGAAGCCCAGGCCTGCCTTTTCTGGTGCTCCAGGTCCCTGGATTCCCGCGCCCACGGCCGATGGCCCCCTTCACGCCCCCCCCAGCGTCGAGGCAGAGCTTCCCTGGGTTCCCTGGCACCCCGTGGCCTCTCCTCCTTCTTCGGTCTCTCCTTCCTCAGCCTCTCCTCCTTCCGAAGTTTCTTCTTCCAGGGCGTCTCCTCTTTCCACGGCCTCTCCTTCCGCGGCTTCTCCTCCTTCCTTTGCTTCTCTTTGGGTGCTTGCTCAGCGGGGGCCGCGTGCTCCTCAGCGGCCTCTCCTGTGGCCTCCCCAGGATCTCCCTGCACCTTCTCTGCAGCCTCCCGGCTCCTGGGAACCTTGGGCTTGTCCCCTGCCTCTGCCTGAGGTGTGGGTGGCCCCACCTTGGGCGCGGGGGGTCTCGATGGGGGTGCCCAGGCCGAAGGCTTAGGCTGCAATGTGGACAGTGTGGTATCCTGGGCCCCAAACCCACTTCTCTCACCACCCGGCCTCCCCACCCCTGGATGGGCACCCACTGCCCAGGGACACTGGAAGGAAGTGCTTACCGCGGGTGATGCCAGGGCCTTGGGGGCTGAGATGGGTGGGATCCACGGGGTGGGCACAGCCTCCTCTGCAGTCACAGCGTCTGGGAGGGGGGAGGGTAGGCAGGCAGATCAGCCTGGGGTGCAGCACCGACCCCACCATCCCTCTCCCCCCAACACCCCTATCTGGGCCATGGGCTCGCCTGGGTACCAAGAGGCTTCCCTGGCTTCCTCTGAGCCCCAGGGGCTCCATGATTCGGGGCCACCCCTTCCCTCGAGATCTCCTTTTCATTGTTTGTTATTTGCTTGTTTTGAGACAGGATCTCACAGTAATTCAGGCTGACCTTAAACTAGGCAGCCCAGGCTGACCTGGAACTCGCAACGTTCCTCCTGTCTCAGCCTCCCAAGTGTTGGAATTACAGGCACGCGCCCCCCCCAAGCCCGGTGCCACCGCCCCTTTTAAAAGGAGTGGGCATTCTCTCCCCCCCCACACACACTGCAGGTCCGCCTCCGGGCAAGGGTGAGGTCTCAGGCCTGCGGGGTGGGCGTTAGGACCCTCCCCTAAAGCGGGCCTGAGCTAACAGGGGGCTGTTCCTGGGCTGCGGCGGGGTAGGAGGGTGCTCTCAAGATCCAGCAGGAAGGGGAAGGGCCCTGCGCCGGTCCCATCTCGGGGAGACATGCAAAATGTGTCCGCGAGACGGAGCTCGGGGTGACCACGGGGCACACACAGTCACAGTCTTTTTCAGAAAGGGGGATGTGAGGACCCCGGGCGAGGTTCATCTGGGGAGAGGGAGTCAGCCCAGGCTCAGGGGAGCGACAGGGTTGCAGGCCTGGCCAAAGGGCGAGGGCGCAAATTCATCCCTTAAAGTGGGCGCGGTGGCACATGCCCGTCATCCCAGGGCTGTGGGAGGCTGAGGCAGGAGGACGGCAAATTCGAGCGCAGCGGGGGCAATTTAGCGACTTAGCAAGACTCTGGCTCAAAAAACATTCAAAGGGCTGGGGATGGAGCTCAGAACAAAGGCCCGGGATTTCAGCCCCAGCACTGCAAGGAAACAAAAAAGACCCATCCTAGACGAGGAGAAGCGGAGACACCACCCCCGCGTGCACCCCCCCTTCCCTGGAGGCGGGGCACTCGGGCGCCTTCAGCCCCGCGCCTCCTCGGGGTGGGGGGAGCCAGGCTCACCGCGGCACAGCTGGAAAGCCGAGCCCAGCAGCGCCACCAGCGAGGCCAGGACCAGGCACTTGTTGAGCGTCACGTCTCCCCAGGGCAGCTCCTCGCTCAGGGCAGGGGGCGGCGGGGGCGGCTGCGCGAGGGGCTCGGCCTGCGTCTTCTTTCGGGCCGGGGCGCTCCGGGGAGCTGGGGGGGAAGCCATGAGGTCGGGCGCGGGAGGGGCCGCGCACTCCCGGGCCGGGGAGCGTGGGGCGCCCAGCCAGCGGCTTCTAAGCCAGAGCCGCACAGACTAGCCTAGGCCACAGTGGACGCCACTCAGCCAGAGCCCCCCACCCCGTCCATCCTGTCCCCTCACCCTCCAGCGCCCGCCATGGAGGGCCCAGCCCCTGGCCTGCGCCCCCCACGCCACCCTACGCCCACCCCCGCTTCACCCCAGCCTGCTGCAAACCCACGCGCTCCAGATTTCAGCTCCTCCCTTCCGAGGTCTGGGGTCCCCCTGGCCATAGGCTCCTTCTCCATCTTTTTGGGCCTGGCATCCACACCACTCCCTGCCTGCAGCTCCTGAGAGACCTGTCGGGGTGAGGGGTCGGGCATTCTTTTTCCTTTTTTTTCCTCTTCTTCCTTTATTTTTTTCTGTTTCAGTACTGGGGATGGAATGCAGGGCCTTTGTACTGAGCTACACCCCCTGCCCCTTTTTAATTGTTTTATTTTGAGACATGGTCGTCCAGAATCACCCAGACTAGTCTTGAACTTGAGATCCTCCTGCCTCAGCCTCCCAGAGTGATAGAATGTCAGGCATGGGCCACCAAACCTAGTTCAGGATGGTGTTTGTTTCTTTTTTTTTTCTTAAAAGGAGGAAAGGTTTATTTAGCTCACAGTTTCTAGAGGTTTCAGTCCATAATCAGCTGGCTCCAAGGCAGGATGGCACGTGGCAAAGGGGCAACAGTTCATGGCACCCACGCGGGACCAGGGTGGTGTTTCTTCTTTTTTTTTTTTGGTACTAGGGATCGAACTTGGGTCCTTGCGCTTGTGAGGCAGGTGGCGGAACCACTGAGCTAAATCCCCAGCCAGTAGTGTTTCTTTTTGTCTTCTAAGAGACAGAGTCCCTTCCTTGGCCAGCATGTCCCTAACTCTGAAGTCCCCAGCTACTCACCTGAGGCCAGCTGCTGGTCTCAGCCACTCTGGGTGTTGCTGTTAGTGGAAATAGAAACAGTCAAGGTTGTGGGACACCCCCCAAGGCTCATCGCACCCCACCCCCTTGCTATGCTGGGCCAGAGCAGAGAAGATCCCGTGTTACAGATGACACCACAGAACAGACCAGCTCAGGGACAGTGTTGCCCGAAGACACACAGCACTCAGTAGCAGCCTGCTGGGACTCGAACCCAGCTCTGTGTCTGGCACCTGTGTTCTGGGGCCACCCCTAGGGACCACAGCAGAAGTCAGTGCAGAGTGGAGGGACACCAGGGTACCTCGGGCCTTGTCCTCCTGCAGCCACCCCAGGGTGGCCTCTGCCAGCGCAGAGAGGTCTTCACCGGCCAGGCAGCTGCCCAGGCCCTGGTCCAGCTCCTCCAAGCCTCTGGTTGTCATGGAGACAGGAGCAGCGTCCCTCCCTCCACAGTGGGGCTGGGAGGGAAAGGGTGTTGCCTTCGCAGAGCCTGCAGCAGTCACCTGTGGCCTAGGGGTGCTGTGGGCGGGAAGTAACCAGCCCCTGGGCCCCCTCCCAGCCCTTGTGTCTTCCTCTTTCTCTGGAGCAGCTTCCCTGGATAAATTCATACTTTTTTTCCTGGTACTGAGGCTTGAACCCAGGAGCTTTACACTGGACTACATCCCTAGCCCTTTATGTTTTTTTATTTTGAGACAGGTCTCGCTAAGTCCCTAAGTTGCGCAGGCTGGGCTCCAACTTGCAGTCTTCCTGCCTCAGCCTCCCAGAGTGCTGGGATGACAGGCAGGCACTGCCACAGCCACTGCAGTTTGACTATTTTACAAAGTACAGGCCTAGGTATCATCCTGGACTCCCCCACACCGGCCCTGGGCCCTTCCCCATGGTCTTGCCTCTTCCAGGTCTCACTCCTGCATTGGCGAGTGTGGTGGTCGAGGCTGGAGGAGGTCAGAGAGGGACTGGAACCCACCCAAAGCCACACAGCAGTGAGGCAGAGATACAGCTCAAAGCAGAACCCAGGCCCAGGTCAGCTCATGTTCCCTGAGACCGGGGACTATTTTTATCTGGTGTCTAAAGCCAGCAGGCCAGGCCAGAGGTGGCACAGCCCCTTCCAGGCTGTCCCTTCCTTGGGGTCTCTTTCACCCAGACCATCCTCACTCACTGCACCTGGCACTCAACACCCTGCCCCAAAGCCTGGCACACGCCTGTCTTCCCAGCACTCTGGGAGGCTGAGGCAGGAAGATCACAAGTTTGAGCCCAGCCTGGGCAACTTTAGCACTTAGCAAGACCTATTTCAAAATAAAACAACGAAAAACAGCAACAACAACAACAAAATAACAGGGAATTTAGCTCAGTGGTTCCGCCTCCTCCCTCAAAAGAGCAAGGTCCCGAGTTGATCCCTGGTACCAAAAATAAATAAATAAATAACAAAAAGCTGGGATGGGTAGCTTGGTGGGAAGGAAGGACCTGTGTTCAAGCCCCAGGACTGGGAGGCGGTGGTGGGGACGACCAAAGCAAAACAAAAAAAGCCTCACCCCACAGATCTAGGGGCTCAAAGCTCCAGCAGCCAAAACCAGCCTGGTCCAGATGACAGCTGAGGACAGGCAAGGGGGTCCTGGGAGTCTCCTGATCCTCGCACTGGGTCCCTGCCTCCCATTGCTACCTTTGTGTGCTTATGGCAGAGGGGAGACAGGCTGGAGCTGGACTCCTTGGAGACGTGCTAAGCTTGAACCCAGCCCCACAGCCTTGCTCTTTGGAGGTCCCTGGGTCCTCTGGCTGCCAGTCAGCTTCCGTGAGGCCCCTTCCTGGGCGGGGCAGCAGGACTACCCCTTCCCTGAGACTGTGGACGGGGCGCTGGGGGAGGGCCTCAGCCCTTGTGGGAGCTGGGAGGGAGTGTAGCCCCAGGTGTGTGTGTGGGGGGCGCCTCGGGAGTTGGGGACCCCCATGGACTTCAGAGATGCCCTCCCCAGATGCCAGGGACCCACAGTCCACCCAGGTCTCCCCGAGCCCTCTTACCCCACAGCCTCTGCACTGGGCCCTTCGGACACGATAGAGCGCGGAAGGGCGGCCCGGAGACAGACAGGGACAGGTGGCTGTGGACAGCTGGGGGGGGCAGTCAGGGACAGCCAGCGGGGCAGGGGGAGGGGTAGGCAGGAGGGCACTGCCCGGTGTCCCCGCCCCCACCCTGTCCCAGAGGTGACCCTACCCCCACTTCAGTGCAGAGCAAATCCCAGAGAGCCAAGGAGCCATCGCTTCCTGTCCCACACTTCTTGAGTATCCCTGATTGGTTTGACGGGCACTGGCTTGGAAGGCAGTGTCCCTGCTGTCCCCTTGTCACCTTGCCCTCTTTCTGTGATTCTGTCGGCAAAACTTCTTTTGGGGGCGGGTTCTGGGAATGGAACCTGGGGACTTCACACCAAGTTCTGTCCTCAGCCCTTTGAATTTTTTTATTTGGAGACAGGGTCTCAGTAAGTTGCTCAGTTGCTGAGTTGCTTAGGCTGGGCTGGAACTTGCAATTCTCCTGCCTCAGCCTCCTGAGTGCCAGCATGTGCTTTCATCTAGCTGCCTTTTTATCTATTTGTCTTTATTTATTTGGGGTTTTCCTGCCTTAGCCTCCTGAGTGCTAGGATGACAGCCATACACCACTCCACCGGGGTTATTGGTCACCTTTGAAGCCATTCCTGGGATTAAGATCTGTGCCCATAAGATTTCTCTTGGATAAATAAGGATAAAAATGATTAAAATGAATAACTGATAATTTGAAATAGGAAGAAAAGGTCTAAAGGGGGAGGAGAAGTGGAAGGGTAAGGGGAAAGGAAAGAAGGGAAAGGAAAAATTATGAGAAAGGAAAAAAATGGAAACAAAATCTTTGTAAATAGGGAAGGCCGGAGGAGGTGAAGGGCGCACAGGTAATGGGGAAAAATAAGAATCAAGATACAACGTGTACAGATACAAGCACCCAATGATAAATGTAAACGTGTCGTATACCTAAAATGTACCTTCCGCCATCTGCCTCACAAGCACAAGGACCCGACTTTGATCCCCAGTACCAAAAAATAAATAAAATAAAATAAAATAAAATGTACCAATAAAAGAATTTAAGCAAAAAAAAAAAAAGAAAAAAAGATGAGGTGGCTGAGTGTGTCTGGAGTTGTTTCTGCATCTTCTAATCTGTTCCACTGGTCCTTGGGTCTGTTTCTTTGCCAGTACCATGCTGTTTTTATTACAGTAGCTTTGCAGTACAGTTTCAAGTTGGGAATTGTGATACTCCCAGCCATGACTCTGTTCCCTAGAATTGCTTTTGCTATTCTAGGTCTCTTCTGGTTCTTGATGAACTTTTGGATTGTTTTCTCTAGTTCTGTGAAATATGCTGTTGGGATTTCAATTGGGATTGCATTGAATCTATATAGCAATTTATTTATTTATTTATTTATTTATTTATTTATTTTGGTACAGAGGATCGAACTTGGTTCCTTGCACTTGCAAGGCAGGTGGCGGAACCACTGAGCTAAATCCCTGGCCCTATATAGCAATTTTGGAAGTATGGCCATTTTCACTATATTGGTTCTTCCTACCCAGGAACAGGGGATGTCTTTCCATTTTCTTATATCCTCTTCAATCTCTTTTTTCAGAGTGCTGTAGTTCCCAATGTAGAGGTCTTTTGGTTCCTTCCTTAGATTGATTCCTAGATATTTCATTTTTTTGTGTGCTATTGTGAAATTCCCTAATTTCTCTTTCAGTGAGTCTGTTATTTGTGTATGAGAAGGCTATTGATTTTTGAGTGTTGACCTTATATCCAGCTGCTCTACTGAATCTGTCAATTAAATCTAGAAGTCTCTTGGTGGAGTTTTTTGGGTCTTCTATGTAGAGTATCATATCATCAGCAAATAATGACACTTTAACTTCTTCCTTTCCTATCTTTATTCCTTTTATTTCTTTCTATTGTCTAATTGCTTTGGCTAATGTTTCCAAAACTATATTGAACAGGAGTGGTGATAGTGGACTTGGGCTTTGTTTTTTAAGAATGTCCTAAGCTAGGCACTTGTCCAAGCCTGTAATTCCAGCACTTGGGAGGCTGAGGCAGGAAGATTGCCAAGATATCGAGGCCAGCCCTGTCTCAAAAAAACAAAAAGAGGGGCTGAGGATTTAGCTCAGTGGTTTCACCACCTGGTGCACAGGCCCAAGGACCCAAGTTCAATCCCCGGTACAAAAAAACTCCCCAAAAAAAACAAAAAGAAAAAAAGAGTCCTGGATCTCCCCGGGGCCTGCGCAGGTCCCAGGCCTCATTAACAGACCCTCCCTGGAGCGGGTCATGTGTGGTGTTGACCTTCAGCTAATTTGAGAAGAACTTGAAATACCCAAGCAAGCTCCTTTCTCCGGGGCAGGAGACCAACACAAAACAGGGAGCGGCCCTTACCGTGGCCTGAGTCCTCCTCTCCCGCCCCCATGCCCCACGTATGGGGAGCGGCTGGCTGCTGAGGGGCTGCTGCCCACACCTGGCTTTGACCCCGGGCAGCCCATGGTGAGGCTGGGTGAGGGGCAGATGCTGCCGTCTCTCTCGGGTGCCCCTAGGAGAGGTGGGTCCAGAGCCTTTTGTAAGTACCAGGAATGGAAGCCAGGGGCTCATGCATGCTTGGCAGATGCTCACCACTGAGATCAGTGAGAGATGCCAGACACAGAGGACACAGCATGGGCTCTGTGGACAGGAAACGCCCAGGACAGGCGACTCCAGAGACAGGAAGTGGCTTCGAGGGTGCTGGGCTGGATAAGGGACAGGAGTCAGTGTTTCCTGGGACAGCGGCCCAGTTTGGCATCTTTACCAAAATGTATTGTTTGTTCTTTTGTTTTTGAGACAGGGTCTCGCTATGTAGCCCAGGCTGGCCTCGAACTTGCCACAATACTGCCCCAGCCTCACCAAGTGCTGGGATTACATGTGCACCCCCATGTCTGGCTGTTCTTTGCATGCTTGATGCAAGCCACTCTGACTTCGGCAAGATAGAACTGTAGTTTCAATTTGCAAAAACCTCTCAACTCCTTTTCCTGGTTGCATGATATTTCAATGTGTGGTTGAAGCGCATTTTGAGTGTCCCTGATTGGTATGACGGACACATACTGTAGTTGCTTCCACCTTTTTTTTGGGTTTTTTTGGTACCAGGGATCAAACTCGGGACCTTGTATTTGCGAGGTAGGCGGCAGAACCACTGAGCTAAATCCCTGGCTTGCTTCCACCTTTTGGCTGTTGTGAATCCTGCTGTTACAAACATGGGTGTGCAAAGTGTGTTTGAGTCCCTCCTTCAGTTCTTCTGGGGTTTACCTGTGAGTGGATTGCTGGGCCTTACGGTAATTCAAGTGTTTGAGGAATCAGCTTCTCAAAAGCGACTCCACTATTTTACATTCCTTGCACAGGGAATGAGAGTTCTAATGTCCCCCATCTTCACCAACTGTTAATATTTTGTTTTTCCCTTTAAAAAGAGAAGGCTAGGCATGATGGCACATGCCTGTGATCCCCGCATTCAGGAGGCTGAGGCAGGAGAATCTCTATGAGTTCAAGGCCAACCTGGGATAACACAGTGAGATCTCAGGAATGGACCACTTGGGCAGCAAGCATAAGGCCTGAAGTTCAGCCTCCAGCACTGCAACAAAAAAGAAAAAGAGCCAGGCACAGAGTGTGGGAGGCTGAGGTGGGAGGGTTGCAAGTTGGAGCTTAGCCTGGGCAATTTAGCAAGATCCTGTCTCAAAATATTAAAAGGGCTTGGGTTGGGGCCGGGGATTTAGCTCAGTGGTTTCACAGCCTGCTGCACAAGCACAAGGACCTGGGTTCGATCCTCGGTACCAAAAAAAAGGCGGGGGGGGGGCTTGGGTTGGAGCTTAGTACAAAGGTCCTGGGTTCCATCCCCAGTGGGGGGAAAATAGAGGAAGAAACTCGGGAACACAGTGGCATGAGGTTAATAAGGCAGCAAACACTCCAGGAACATGGAGACATTCAACCCAAAGACCCTTTTTTCTGTTCTGTGCAATGAAATCTTCATGCCAACCTTAGAAAGATTGAGAAAAAACAAAAGAAATATTGAAAACATAGAAACAGAAGAATACTTGCTAGCATGTGCCAAGGCCCTGGGGTCCAAACCCAGCATCACAACAAAAAGAAAAAGAGAAGAGGCAGAAAACCTCTTTTCTGAGAAAAGCCAGCTGGCCTTGGAGCCAGTTTCCTGGTCTTCCTTTCGGGTGATTTCACAGCCCAGTCATGGCTGGAGGAGGACCTGGGGGCTCTGTGCTTTATCAGCAGGCAGCAGATGCGGGTGAGGCTTTGAGACCAAATTCCGGACCTGCCCCTGAGCCTCCTCTGCCAAACCCTGTTCTCACTGCGGCTGCTGGGTGCACTTTACCGATGCTTGCTTCTCATTTCCTTCCTCTTTCTCATGCTGTTTATGCAAACGTGTCCACAGGAATTCTCAATTTTTAATCTAGAGAGGAAGCCAGGCTTAAAAATTATAGTGGTGGTGTAGGCCTATCACCTCAGCACTATAGGAGGCTGAGGTGGGAGGGTAGGGTCAAAGGTCAGAGCCCAGTCTGGGCAATTTAGCAAGACTGTCTCAAATTAAAACACAAAAGGGGCTGGGGAGGGCAGGAGATATGCAGCACGGTACCTGCCTAGCAAGCGCAAGGTCCTGAGTTCGATCCCCAGTACCAAAACCAAAAACAGAACAAAACTAAACAAAC